ACCCAAGGTACACTCCAGTTCTCCCAGGAAGTCAGCATCTTGCAGACTGCAGCTTTCACTATCAATGTCGTACACTTCAAACCTCAGCCTCTGCACCATCTCGAAGTAGTAGTCGACGACAAACGTCTTAGAAAACTTGGGATTAAGGCAGTTCATGATTCTCTCTGTCCGTCCAATCTAACAAAGATGCATGTCTCAGAGTCAGTTACTTTTTCTGTACATTGCGTCTATCTTACACTCTTTTGAGCAAGTACAAACATTTCCACTTCAAAAATATCTACCAATACTGGAAATACTTTTAAAAATACTCAAAATTCTTAAGGATGATGTTCATTCTGGCCTTTTAGATCATCGTTGCTCTCTGGTGATTTGACTTAGACATTAGGGTGAGTACATAAAATCTAAACCTCACAATGTAACCTGTAATGGTTATATACTAAAACTAAGTCGCCTCTTCAATGAGTGAAACATTAATGAAACAGTTCGTGTTCACTGGTGTGAGTACAACACTTGCCTGCACCTTAGCACAGCTAATTAAAAGTTTCATTTAATAGCCTGATGTGTGCATGTAGAAGAACTACTAACCTCACACCAGTGGGGCCCTGATGTGTTCATCAGAAGCACACACAGAGGGTCAGACTTTGAGAACGCGTCCATGTCGAGCAGATTCTCGCAGGAGATGTTCAGCGACACCTTGGTCACACATTCTGTGACCCTTGCCCCCGGGGTTCCACCTGCTGCCATCACAACCTGGAGAGCACGCACAAACAAACACAGGTAAACAGAAGGGAACATTTAATATACCACACCTATAGCCTGCTAAGTTATGACTATATTCTATGGCTTATACTGAGAGCTGCAGCCATATACCGATTCTCATGAAACACTTGCTCCATCCCTCCATTTATTTAGCAGACGTGAACCAGTTTAGCCTTCTCTCTGGGCTGTTTTGGCTCGACAGTGTGAAGGTCGAGCCAAAGTAATAGGGGATGCATTTCTTGCCAGCTAAAGAATTTGTTCTGCTGAATACTCATCCACCTCGCAAGTTTCCGAACGAATCATATGTGGTAATCAGTACATAGTTTTCATTTAATTTCACACATTTATCACTCACCTTGTCTGAAAAACGAGGGAATGAAATTATTGGCAGGTAACAAAAATCACCTCTGCTGAACGATGCGTCCAGAAACTTTATATCTGGAGATCTATGAATCAATAGCCATTTGCAGAGCTCACAGATGTTTCCACTAAAATATTGCTTTACGGTTGAAAAACATTTTCTCTTTTTTTTTCCCGACACCACATGAGGCAGTGTCAATGCCCCAGTTGTCACATTCAAGACCAACATGGCTAATGTTACCACAGCTCAGAGAAGCAACTCGATCGTGTCATTAAGAGTTTCCATTGTGTCATTGGAAACTAACGAAGGGCATTCTTAGCTTTCTGCCGTAAAGGATTTAGGAAGTCAGGTGACATAGTTGAAAAAGTCCATGAAGGGAGTAGTGTGGAAGATTTGATGGATGAATGGGTCAAACACAGGACTCTCAGCTGGAAGATCGACGTTCAGTTCCTGTGTGACCCTAAAAGTTAATATTGACTTATTGTTTTGACCCTTCCTTTTTTTATAGTCACAGCCCCAGACAACACAACAGCAATAGATGAGAGCAGCACACCTAGCTACTTTGCCCCTGCATCATGCCCCTGCCCCTTTTTGGGTGATAGTAGCTCCTCTAATTTGAATGGTGGTAAATGCAACTCCCAAGGTCTTTGCCAATTTAACAGCATCAAATAAGAAAACTGTATTGCTTTTTAGCTATTAGGAGCTCAAATCTTATGGCCAGTCAGGCAAACAATTGTTATATTGTTGTTGATCTGTGTCATTATATAGAAACACTTTTTAAAAATAGGGGTTGATGAGGTGATGATGTTTCTTTTCAGTCTGTCTCCATCAAAGTGGACGACCCTGAAATATACTAGCCTACCTTATTGAATATCCATGTAATGTATTTCTGACATTTGTCACTTTTTCTGTCATTAAGATACTTTATTTTGCTGTCCAAAGTCTGTCCAATGTGACATTGGACATTGCTGTGGCAAAGTGTAACCGCACTCTTGTTTATGTCTATTTAGATAGCTTTTTGTGCTTATTACGGAACTTTTCACTACGAGCTGAGAAGTAGAAAACAGGTTGCTTTACCCTTACCTCCTACTTTATTTTATACTATTTACAAAGTTCATTAGAATAGAAGGTAGGATAGCACAATTTATGCGAATTATTAATGTTAAAATACCCTCTGCAGGCGGTGCGGTGCGTCAGTGGTTAGCACTGTCACCTCACAGCAACAAGGTCGTGGGTTCAAACCCCGGTTGCTCTGGCCTTTCTGTGTGGAGTTTGCATGTTCTCCCCGTGTCCGTGTGGGTTCTCTCCGGGTGCTCTGGCTTCCTCCCACCGTCCAAAGACATGCATGCTAGGTTAATTGGTGTCTCTGAAATTGTCCTTAGGTGTGAATGTGAGTGGTTGTCTGTCTATTTGTGGCCCTGCGATGGACTGGCGAACTGTCCAGGTTGTACCCAGCCTTTCGCCCAAGGTCAGCTGGGGTAGGCTCCTGTACGCAGGATAAGCGGTTGACCATGGATGGAAAATACCCTCTGCTCCCAGCGCTCTTTCAAGTGGACAGACTGTAAAACCAAATTCCATTCTAAAAGCAGGTGTTTTATAATAGCCCATATTTTTAATTTACACCATCATTAAGACTCTTTTCTCATTGATCTACAGGCACAATCGGCACACACATAATTTACTCAGATCAATTGACATCATTAAATAGCCTGGATGAAGTGCACTTTTGACTTGCATGGTCCCACAGTTTACCATTTACATCCTCTCTGGTGATGGCCTGAAGCCACAGATGTCTTCTTTTACTGCCCCTCGCTCTGTTGGGAAGTTTTGTTTTGTTTTTGTGTGCAAAATGCAATGCAGCAGCTTTTAGACATGGTGCCACTATTTTTTTCAATCTGGCACTTGCACTTTTGCAGTGCTTGTTTCCACTCAATGGGAGGCGTGGTCGTCCCGAAGGCAGGAAAGTGACGTATGACTGCTCTCGCGAGCCACTTCCTAACGGCCACGCCCCGACACGTAACAGTTTTAACTACCTTTTTATATCCAGTCTATGGTAACTACTAATAAGAGTGAGTTGGAAGCTAAAATCTCCGCAGGCACAAAAAGAAATAGTCCCAAAACTTCATAAAGCTTCAACCGCCCATCAATAGTACAGCTGTCTAAAATGATGTGCTTAAAAACACATCGGTAACAAACACCAGCGTTCTCCTTCAGAAATTCATCAGCATTGATGTGAACAGAAACTTTACTTTGCCTTAAAAATCGATGCAATCTGGTCTAGTAGTTGCGAAGTTCCTTTAGTGGAAACATGCCGAACCAGCAAGCTCTAAATAAGATAAAACCTTCAGCATTGATAAATACGGTGTTATGCATTATAAAGACAACTGACTAACGTTACGTAATTTAGTTACGGTAATGGCACGAAACGAGCTTGCTAACGTTCAGTAATTACACCACACTAACGTTAATTGTTATTAAAATAAGTGTAAGTTAACGTTACCTGGTATTAACCATAGTTAATGATGTTGTCTCTAACGACTAACACTTCCTTTCGTTTTCAGATGACCGTCACATGATAACTTACGACGAAGTATTACAACACTTTAGTCATTCATGCAACTTCGAAGTAGCAAATATTATGTCAGCGAAAACGGTTTTATGTGAAAAGTAGTCTCAACTTAATGTCCTAACTTACCTTGTTAGCCCGCTAGCTGTGTCTGGTGTGTTTTATTACGGGACTTTTTACAACGAGCTGAGAAGTAGAAAACAGGTAGAAAACAGTTTTGGTAGCAGTGACAGACAACACTGTTGAGGGCGGTGCCCACAGTGCGCTGCTTCAAGTAACGTTAGTCTGCTGTAGACAAGAGCAATGCAGTCATCATTTGGCAGGTTTAATCCGTTTAATCAAAATAAAATAAAACTGGTAAAATTGTCACAAACACAACTACACAAAAGTGGACATTTGATTAAATATTAAAGGTGTGGAGAGACTGTGTGTACACTGAAAGTCATGCAATGAACAAAAAAGCCCCATACTTTCCCCATTACATTTATTCATTTAGCTGACGCTTTTTCAGAGGCTTAAAATTGCTATATATGTCAGAGGTCTCACGCCTCTGGAGCAACTAGGGGTAAAGTGTCTTGCTCAGGGAATTGGACCCGGGTCTCTCACACCAAAGGCAAGTATCTTATCCACTGCCCCATCGCCACCCAGTGGAAGTCAAAAATCCAGTGGCGGTTCTAGACCAATTTTATTAAGGGGGCCAGGCTGTTTTGTCAGAGGGACACATTCAATCCGGGACAAAAAAGACAAAGACAATGTTCAAACTTTCAAAATGTCTTGTTTAGTATATAATGTGATGTTTTAGTATGTTTCAGTAACTTTCAGTAAAAGGATTTTCAGTGACTTAGTTATATTCTTTTTTTAATTACATTATACAAAAACCTCAAGTTACATAACATTCTTTGATGTAACACTTCCTTGTAAGGCTTAATGAACAGTTTAAGCTCTAGTGTACTAGACATTCTCTGGATCCCAGTTTGTATTTTGTATCCCACTATAACTTTTGCTAGGAAACAACAAACGTCTCCTTATTCACCCCTGTTATTAGTCCTGATGTGAAGTATACACAACATTAAATACTTGATAGTAGGCCATCATCTGTGCATTTTGGACAGGGATACATATTTTGGCAGACTGCATGTCCCGCCTGGTAGGACCAGTAGGCTACTGTTATCGCTTTTTGTGTATGAAAAGTGCTTTAAATGCAATGCATTAATAAATTGTTATAATAATAATTCACCAATTAAGGAGGGGGACACTTTCCAGCAATATTCAAAGGCTATCCATGCAATGGAAACGTGGATACAAGGACAAAAATTTGTCTACAATGCTGCATTCAGTTTAATGTACATTTCGAGTCAAGTAGTTGTAACATTGAGGCGAGTAATGTGTTAAACTGATTACAGTGATCTTGATTTTACAGTTTTGATGGCGTTTATATTTGTAGGAGCAGCTTACTTGAAAAAGGTGACAGCCTGTCTGTATCTAGCTTCCAAAGAGTAACATGGATGACTAAGTGATCAACTCCGTGGTCAGTTATAACATTGTCAGACTATCGCAAAATAAATGTTTGCTTTACGGGGGAAACTGAAACTGCTAGTCTTGTTTAGACATTCTCAATTCAGTGCAATGAATAATACGAAGCTCAATAACACGTAACGTTAACATTAGCCTATAAAGCATTTTTAATCCGTGTAATAGCTGCTCTGCAAATACCTCGTTGATAAAACAATACTAAAAAGATAGGTGAAACAATCCACGTTATATTTTTCATTTGAAGTCAAATGTCCGCCTTCACCGTTGAATGCACGCGCACTCCCGCAGCAGGGAGTGCGCGTGCATGAATTTCTATCAGGGATAACTACCACCAGACAGCGGCGGTGTAACGTCCTAAAGGATTCGACTAGTTGAGACACATTTCTTCTGCCTTTCACATTAGCGCCATATTGTCGCAAGGACGATATATTACTATAATTATTGTAGACTTTTCGTTCAGAGGGGGGCCATAGGGGGGGTCCAAGGTCTGTGTTACAGGGGCACAGGCCCCTGTTGGCTCTCCCCCAACACTGCCACAGCAAAAATCCCAGTCAAAAAACTTTCAACCTGATTTAAACACTAGTCTTTGGTCAAAGCTGAGATAGTCAGACAAAAGGGGAGCTTCAGTAGACCATAATGGTCTCTCACATCCAGACAGCGCTAAGAGGAGACCTGTGGACATTCATGGACACAATGTACAGACTCACTTGTGACATCAAGTGGGGTTTTTGTGGATTATGTTTGTTGTGTTGTTTCTGCTAGCATCAGCCATCCCACTTAGCATTGGTACTGTATAAGCCTCCAAAGATTACACACACATACATACACAGAGTAATACTGCAGTCACAGAGGAAGCAACAGCTTAACAGTTCAGTCTCTCTGCGATGAACATAGATCAGCACTGATGCAAGTGAAAAAACAGATTAGTTAAAAATATTTTCTTTTTCAAAAACCCACAGTTTTGGGGCAAAGCTCAAACTTACTACTAAACTAAACATCACACTTAAAATCACATCATCTTATACATGAAGTAAATTTTGCTCGCATATACAGAAGCAACAAGGACTTGCGTCAATAAGGTCGGAAAGAATAGTGTCACATTAGCATGATGTCTATAGTGCTGAAAACAACCTTTCCAGTGCCTGACCTTTTCTCACATGGTTTGAGGATTAAGACACAAAACTTTAATATGGGTTACAAACAGAGAAGGGAAAAGACAGAAAAAAGGCACAGGGACATTTACAAGGCACAGGGACATTACATCAACAAAGCCATCCCAACATGTCAAGTGATATATTTGTAGTCCACAGAGGATATTCTGATTACTTTTATTGGGATTTCTTGGTGTTATCATGCACTATACAAGCTATCAGGTCTCTTGGTCACAGCAGCTCTTTGTTTATGGATTTTATATCAAGTCAAATTTTAAAGATTACAGAAAATAAGATCACAGATTTTAAATTTAAGTATACTTTGTATAGTTTATTTTTTACCCCACATCCGTCTTTTCTTTTCTTTCTTTTCTCTTCATTGATTTACACCAGTTCGCGAAACAATAAATGCCAAAATATGGTGCAGGAGAGGCGGAAAAGCACATGTATTTGGGTTAATTTAACCCATCTTTCTAGGACGGGCCAGAAACACTCAATCTATTTGGGGGGGTTTCAGCTTGTAAGAATTGAAGTAGGAGGCCACTTGATCAGGCAGCTCTGCCAGCACGCTCTGGGCAAGGGCCACACTGTTTCCCTGCAATGACAATGTTATAATGATAAGAGCTAATTGGAGCCATGTTTAGGACCATGCTTGCTAACATTAAAATGTGTATGTGCTATGGACAGCTCATGCTTTACTTTCAAATCAGTAAATACCTGTTATACTAAGGCACATGAAATATTCTCTGCTGAATTTTAGATATGGGCTGCTGCTTACTTGGAACCTTCTGAAGGGCACAAACTGGACGATGTCTCTTGAGGCGAAATTACCGCTGGGGGAACACAGCAATTTGTCATCACTGTCAAGGAACTCCATTGCGCTGAAGTCTGCCCCACCCACGCCCACTATGATGATAGACATGGGCAGAAGAGAGGCCTCTACAATAGCAGTGCGTGTCTGGTCCATGTCTGTGATCACTCCATCTGTGATGATGAGCAGCACAAAGTATTGCTGCGGATGGAGGGAGAAAACAAATGATAAAATATACAAAGGCCCAAAAAACAAAGGTTTGTTCCAATATGATCTTAGAATAGTCTCTTCTTCCTCTTTGGTTTAATTAAGATCTATTATTATTGTTATTATTTTGATTTCCAATTTGTTTGGCTTGCCACTTGGCATTCAACACTAGGAAACATAAATTTTTACATTCAACAACATTGTATTACTGATGAGAAATCTGAATATAAATAAGTGGTTTACCTTTTTATGATTTACATTTTTACATTAAATTGTTTTTTTGATAGAGTTTTTTTTTTTAAATAACATGATATTAATTTTTCAAAAAGTGAAATACACTTCTAAAAAATAAGGGAACACTTGTTGATCACAGTATATAACATCAAGTCAATTCAACTTCAGAGATATTAAACTGTCAAGTTGAGAAGCATAACGATTGTAAATCAGGCCGATTGAGTCCACGCAGACGGGTATTTTTATAACAGGAGTTTTTCCTCCTTCGTTTAAAAAGAAATCTCCGTCCACATGAAAACGCAAACACACGTTATTAAGCGCTGTCATGAGCATGCCAAACCAAAGCCATGATGTCCAATCAGAGCCTAATAAAACTGTAAACAAAGCAGGCAGTGGTGCACAATCTGACATCAAACACAGAGGATAAACGGTGCACACTCTGATGCTGCAAGGCAAAAACCCTGGTTTTACCGTGTGATACCATGATACCGGCATTTCTGAAAATCCTAACCCTGGCAGGGGTTTTCAAAAATGTTTGGTCTCAGTGACCTGATACTGCGTTTCCGTGTGGACGAACAGCGAAAAAAAAGTCATGGTTATGAAAATACCCGTGTTCGTGTAGACAGGGCCTCAGTGTCATGAAATAGACAACAGGTGGAGAGGCAACAGCAAGACAACGGACAAAAAGGGAATGGTTTTGCAGGTGATGGCCACAGATAGTTGCTCTCTCCTTATCCTCCCTGACTGATTGATCTTTAGTTTTGTGTTTTTCTAGTGTCCTTGTCACTACTGACAGCATAAGGTGGTACCTGCAGCCAATGCAGGTTGCACAGGTAGTCCAGCTCCTCCAGGATGTCACATCGCAAGAAGGTTTGCTGTTTCTCCCAGCACTGTCTCAACAGCATGGAGGAAATACCAGGAGACAGGCCATTATATGCGGAAAGTTGGACAGGGCATCAACCCATGAGCAGGACCGGTCTCTGATCCTTTGTGTTAGGAGAAACAGGAGGAGCACTGCCAGAGGGCTACAAAATGACCAACAGCATGGTACTGGTGTGCATGTTTTGACCAAACTATCAGAAACAGACTGCAAGAGGATGGCATAAGGGCCCAACGTCGTCTAGTGGGATCTGTGAGCTCGATTGGCATTCACCAGAGAACCCCAGGATTGGCAGGTCACACATGTGTTTTGTACTATACACTGTTGATGGAGGGATAGACAGTTATTTTATTGCTGGTGGTTGTTTCCTCAGGCATTGTTGTTTGCAACGGTTCTGAAGCTGTGAGCTGAAGATGCTGAGCTTGACGGAGTGCGAGTGTGCACGAGGAGAGGAGTTGCGCAGAGTGTGCATGAGCAGTGATTGACACTGCGTTAGACACTCCTCCTGGATTTGATTGACCGTGTTCTTCATGGAGCGGTGGATTCTTGCAAATGGCATTAGGAGCAGTAGGAGGAGCGAGAGAAACTAGATATTTGTTTTACAGATTATGTGTCTCATGTACTACTGTCAGGAAATAGTGATAGTTTTAGCAAATATGACAAAGTAACTTTTAAAAGAATTCCCTTCTGCAGCTTTAACTCCCCCCTGCTCTTACATTTCTATCTGTCTTTCATTTTTCTATGACTCACTCTGTATTGAGTGTTTTGTCAAGTGTTTATTAATTACTGACGCTTTAACTATGCGATCCTGCTCATGCATGTAGACCTGTTTTCTCTGCTGTCTGGGCTTTTACAGTGTGTAACTATATTCTCCGCTTCTCATAGCAGTGGGTTTAATGTTGTTTTCAAGTGTCATTCCCTAATGACGAACGTCTGTGCTATCTGTGTGCATATTATGATGTGACTGTGATGCGCTATTGTTTTCCCTGGCTGCAATCACTGCTGCCAAGTCTAACTGCGCGTGGCTATTAGCATTGTTGTTTGTGACTAGGCCTTTTTTGCAATGAGGCTCATTTGCATAGAAAGGGGCCAATTCTGCACCAGATTTACGCATTTTACTTATTTCAGAACATGCAAATAGCACTGGAGCACCAAGATGCTATTTGCCTGGCAGCATAGTTAGGGGTGGATTTCAACCTTTGAGGGCACACCTTTAAGAATTACATGGTTTTTGTCTGAGGTTTAGCTGCCACAAAGGCGATGCAATGCTTTTGTGAATTCACCTCAGAGTATTTAAACAATTTTTCTTTTGACTTACTGAGGCCATATTCTGCCGCATGGCTTGTTGGGTGAAGCAGGCTACATGGTTGATAACTGGAGAAAAGTTGGTGGGGCCCCACAGCTTCACCTGAGGTAAACACTGCCGGTAGGCATGGACCACACCCTCAATGCCTGCAACACACACACACAGTATTAGGCAGCAACAAATGCAGCATCCCTGAACAACTTTTCACAGCCAAACACAATCTTGTGACAAGGGTTGACTTACCTGCACAGAATGGATTTGCTGGATTGAAATTGACAGGAAAGTCATGGGAAACCTGTAAGCATGATTCCTAAATATTAAAAGCTTTGTAATACATTCCATGACTTTACTAACCTGGCTAGCACAGCTGAAAATCAGGTAAGTGACAAAATATATGGATGCAATCACTTTTTAGCTGGTAACATTTTAAACCTTAATTTGGCCATTGAACTGATTATGTGGCTCATAGAGGGCGCAATTATACAAAAGAAAGAAAGTCAAACATCTTTGATTTGCTGTATATGACAGGAATGTGAAAATGTTCAGGATGTTAATGACAGAAACGTGAAAACACTTCACGTACAAGTGTAACCAGAGTGAGTCATGAAATGTCAGATGTGAAGTCTGTATAATGACGGTCAGGACTTGAAAGGTTTTCCAGACTTTTCATACCTGCATGGAGGGAGGCACCTGGGCTCCAAAACCAAAGACAGGAAACATCTTGCTACTATACAGAAAGACAGACAAAATTTAGCTTTAGGTATAACATTAACAGCACACGTAACAAGGCACATCAGTAGATTAAAGCTGTAAAACTAAATCGTAATCGTAAAAATAAAACTAAATGACACATTGTACTGCAATTGACTGGCTTGATGTAAGAATATTGAGAAAGACTGTTGGCTTCGTTTTTTGTTTTGAAGTTTTATGAAGACGGTCTTTAAATTTCCAGTAGTCCTGCTTTGACAAGCAAAAAGTATTTAATGTAATGCTAGCTCTGTATTCTCAGTATGGATATCATGGCAGATGCTGCAAAGAGACTGAATAAGATGTTGTTAGAGGTAACAAGAATAGAAAAAGAAAGAGTGACCAAGCTAGAGATCGGACAATTGTAAATGTCGGCCTGGTTTTTACTCGTTGGCATGAGCTAAAAGAGCTGAAAGGATTCAGGACAGATGCTGAGCAGGCCTTCTTGCTGCTGGACTAGTAACTAATAACTTATTAACTCCTTGTGCATGCTTGATGTTTTCAACTTGCTAGTTTTCGTTCACATTTAAAGTACAGAAAGTAGTAAAGCTGTCCTTATTTACTGAAACTGTAGGGGCCTCGAATCACACAACAAAAAAATAATACATAATGTTGCTTTAAAATGGTAGGATAATGCAGGATGAAGCAGAGTTTGAGTTTACCTGTTGTAGTCCTGGATGACATTACCCACTGCCCAGATGGCTGACAGGTACTCATTATAGCCTTCAGGGTTGATATAGTGGAGAGACTGGGGGCTGCTGGGATCCCCGTTAGAGCCTGTGAAGTCGATGGCAATCTGGCCCGAGTCAGAGAGAGGATAAAGATCAGGATGTATGGAGCTGCTCAGTGACCAAATGCAAATAAGAGATTCGCAACACAGTATATAACAGAATTCTGCAAGTTTCAGAGAAGCATGCTACCTGAAAGTAGTTTTAGGGCCATTAAAAAGGCAAATTAAACTAAACTGATTATTTTACTCTTAAGACGTTTGGTCTGCTAATTTAAAAAATGTTAACATAAATAAAAGTATTAAAGATATAACATCTTGTGTATGACATTTCCAAACTCACAGTGAAGTGGATCTGACATCCTCCCATAATATAATCCAGGAAGGTATACTCCTTCACCACCTGAAAGAGTAAACATTACATTAACTCTGTCATGCAATAAACATCAGTGAAAGTGGTAACATATGTATGAAGCAACAAGAGTTGTTTCTGCTTGCATGGTCTAAAAAAGACAGAAGATGTACCAGTGCAGTACATCACTGTGAAATCAAGGTAGAGAAAGTCTCTCTAAATCATTACCTGGCAGTTCTTGATGCAAATGACACCAGAGTTTTTGTAGTTTTTCTTCTTTAACTTGTTTGGGTTAATGCACTCAAATTCAGCCTGCAAGTGTGAACATATTTATGCCAGTTTAAATAAAAATAACAGGTTATTTTATTGGTAGACCTGGAATCAAAACACACACACAAAAACTCACCGGTGAAATGTGAGTTCCCATTTGCATCTCTGCCAGTGTGGCTTTAAAGCTTCCAATAAGGTCGTGGATGCCATTGACATGATGGTCGTAACAGTCAACCTAAAGACAAACAGAGACATTTCCTGTAGTGGGTGACAAAATAAAAGCCACCCCATAATAATTTCAGTATGAGGTATGAAGACAGGACGAATAAATGATGGTTTAGGTGATCTATTTTTAAAAAAAGCCATTTCAATCATTTTCACTGATATTTATCTAAATATATAATTCCATTTTAATTAAAAAGCAGTATTAATGAAAATGTTTTGTTAAGTCAGGGTGTAACATTTTTTAAATGACATGTAGATACAATAGTATGCCTTTTTGTAGACTATTCAGACAACAGGAAGCGTCATTTCATCAAAAATGCACATTTGCTCCAATACCAGTCCAATCCTACAATGAATTACAAAGTCCACACCTCACATGCACAAGTTAATCAATCATATTTCACTATCAGTTACTGATGGAAATCCAATGACAGTGGCAGCATCACGAATCGTGCATACATTCACACATCGCTTACCGAACTGGGTCGCAAGCACCCCCATGCTTTAAGTTTGGGACCATTGTAAGATGAAAAGAAGATCACAACATGAATCATTAGTATGTTAGAGCAGCATGGTCAATCAGGCCAATCAAGCTGATCTAAAAAAGTAAGAGGGAGGGGTTGTTTAAGGAAACTGGTTAAAAGGCTGCATTTTACAGCGCATATTAACTGAGATAATTAAATAAATACCTTTATAGGTTTCTCCACATGTCCTCCACAGAGAGATCGCAATGAGATGCAGAAGGGTCTCCATGTTGGGTTTAGGTTGTTTTTCACCACCTAAATAAATGGCTTACAATGAGCCACAAGTCACTAATAATTCTATGAAAGCAGAGGAATGAGTTGTTGGTCAATATGTTTACCTCTGTCCTGTGAGCCAGCTGCCATCCGGTTTCTGTCTGCTTGTAGAACTCCAGGAAAGGGTCCGACCACCACAAATACTGAACAACCATATCCAATTCATAATGTACACTACTTCAAGATATTAAAGTAAATCAAAAGGCAGTTTAGATAATAGAGGACCCCCAATGTCAGACCTAGCTATTTACATTAACCATCATCACCTTTTTGTCCAGCCTGCGGGCTGACACCTCAAAGTTTGCCACTCTCGTGTCTGTTATTTCTTCAGCACAGATCTATTTAAAGAACGAAAGAAAGAAATCAAAACTCTTAAATGTTCAGGCAATTTTGTTCTTTGGACCATATGGCAGTGAGAGATAACTCTTAATTCTTGTAAATTCACATGAATAAACAGCACAAAGCATGTTCATGTTGTGTAACCCAGCTATGACCCCTTAAAGGTTCTGTATATAAGATTCTCAACATTAATATAGCCGCAAACAACTATTTGCTCTGTAAAGAAATCGTGGCGGGATAGCGCCCTGAGCACAGGATGATGTCACACACCCTGTGTGTGTGTTGTCATCCGAGCTTCAGCTTTTGTTTTGGTAGCCGATGAGCATGCAAGTCTCTCGTTGTGTAGCTGCTTTGAGGAGAGAAATATAACGGCGGTTCTCATCTACACCTTGAATTTAGGATTTAGTTTAGGATCTAGACCAAACCAGAATTGTTGACTGAATAGGGGGAAAACGAACAAAGATGGTTTTGTTGAGTTTAATTTAGTTTGTGTTCAGTTTAATTGTAAATCTCTGAGGTAAAATTATTGTTTTTTGAGCAATTTAACGGCTGTTTCTGGTTGAACAAAAAGGATTTTACTGTTTAACAAGGTCCATATTTCTCCATAGTTATCCTTTCCATAATGTTGTCATGTTGCACTTTTCGTGAATGTATGCAACTGTGACGAACACATTTGTCCCCAAGAATTACATTACAGCAAGCCTGTTTTGACGCTGCAGGTTGAGGCATGGAACCAGAATATTTAGCGGAGTTTTTCGCAATGTAGTCTGGTGGGCTGTAGCGCCCACTTGTTTTGGTCTGAGATGCTGGTGGTGAATGTTGCATACAGCTCCTTTAAAATGATGTTATACTAAAGAGAATCACTCAAAAGGTCATCATAACCAAAATCATGTGCAGTTATGCAGTATAATACAGTACAGTCTAGCAAGATGGTGGTATTTTATGACTATCACATAGTTATTTCCTTTAACAAACATAACTAGGATCCCGCATGTTTGCTATGGTCATATCTCAAGATTAACATTTTAACTTTCAGCTATCAAGCTCCTCTCCTGTGGAACCAGGTTCCAGTTTGGGTTCAGGAGGCAGACACCATCTCCACATTTAAGAGTAGGCTTAAGACTTTCCTCTTTGATAAAGCTTATAGTTAGGGCTGGCTCAGGTAGTCCTGAACCATCCCTTAGTTATGCTGCTATAGGCCTAGACTGCCGGGGGATTTCCCATGATTCACTGAGCTCCTCTCTCCTCTACTTTCTCTCCCTCTGTATGCAACCTCATCCCATTATTGCATGTTACTAACACAACTTCTCCCCTTTCTGGTAGTCTTGTGCTTTCTCGTCCCTCTCCTCTCTCCTCATATCACTTCCTGCAGGTTTTCTGGCTCTGGAGCTGTGGAGTCTGGATCTGTGGCTGCGGGTCACCTGCTGCCCCTGTGTTCCTGCTCGACAACCTCTACTGCAACGACTATTGTTGCTAGTCTTATTGTTATTATTGTTATTATAATCATTAAAATTACGATTGTTACCATTAACACTATTATAAATATCTGTACCATTTTTCATTTAGTCTATAGCAACATTACCTTCACTGTCTGTACCTCTGTGTGTATATTGTGTAGGCTGCCTCCCTCCCCTCTCTCTCTCCTTACATCTCTCTCTCCTTACTCTCTCTCTCTCTCACCCCAACCGGTCGAGGCAGATGGCCGCCCACCCTGAGCCATGGTTCTGCTCGAGGTTTCTGCCTCTTAAAAGGAAGTTTTTCCTTGCCTCTGTCACCTATAGTGCTTGCTCTTGGTGGGAACTGTTGGGCTTCTGTAAATAACATCACAGAGTACGGTCTAGACCTGCTCTTTTATGAAAAGCGCTGTGAGATAACTGTTGTTGTGATTTGGCGCTATATAAATAAAATTGAATTGAATTGAATTGAACTTTATACAACACATAAAAAAGTGAACATGCTTGTTTTGACCACATTACCCCACATAGGAGAACAGATTGGAGTTCATGCTCTGGGGATAAAACTACAGTAATAAACTTTATCTGTTATTATAGGTACAGTCTACCTGATGCACTTGTGTTGGGACTGAGCTCACAGCAGCCATTCTTTTTCCAGTGCGTCTATGACCACAAAGAGAGTGCCTCACTCACAGCGAAGGCATAACTTATCATTTCTTTTAGAAATGGGTCCACTCACTGTGATGGTCCCGTGACCTGCGGGTCTCTTGTCCTCCAGCAACAAAGGTCGAGTCATCTCCCTGTTCGAAACAATCTGGACACAAAACACTGGCAGTGTCACAGAACAATGACGAGGTGGAGGAACAACCAATGTATGTCTTTCAAAACTGTACCAAGTGAAGCTCACCTGGCCCAGGGTACATTCAAGCTCCCCCAGGAAATCATCATCGCTCAGATCATAGGTGTCATTGTCAATATCATACACGCAAAACTTCAGCCTTTGGACCATCTCGAAATAGTAGTCAATAACAAACTTCTTGGCAAACTTTGGATTCAGGCAGTTCAGGATCATCTCTGTGCGCCCAAACTGATTCACAAAGAAAAGACATGATCTATGATCATGTCATGATTTGGAAATATATAACACGGAACATAAACAAGCCAACAACGCATGCAGGTAAGTCTGTTAGATGTAAAGGTCTATATAAATTATTCAAAGTAAGGCCTTAACTCATACACATGACAGATTTTTAACTCATCTCCTCTCATGAACTAATACACACCTCATACCAGTTGGAGCCTGAAGTGTTAATGTATAAAGCACACAGAGGGTCAGACTTAGAGAAGATATCCATGTCCATGAGGTTCTCACAGGAGATGGTCAGCTCGACCTTGGTGGCCCAATGGCTGGGCCCTGGCACTGGGGCCCCACCTGAGGCCATGGCAGCTTGTTGTACTAATATGATCAAACAGATGCAGCACAGGTAACCCATAAATTGTTTTAGAGGTAAGAGTGATTTACTCATATAGTGCAATTAAGTAAAATGTTACTTTACTTAAATATTTCAACACTACTTTATACTTCTACTCCAATACTTTGCAGGGGGAAATTTACTGTTTGCACATCAGTGACAGGGGCCACTCAGCATAACTGGTTTTACTGATACTTTACATTTTGTTGCTTATAATAATGTACTTTAACTTAAGTACAATTTTAAAGCACTTATGACATGAGTATTTTTACATGTGGTTTTGCTCCTGTTAAGTAATCTGAATACCACACTGTAACGTTACAGGTAACTTAGCTCTTTCTAGTGGTAGTAATGACTAGCTACATGTCCTGTTAGTCAATTGTGTTTTGGAATTTCCAAATTAATCCAGCGGTTATTAACGTTACATATAAACTGTTAACCTTAACGGACCACAACAGTAGGTTGTGAGGACCCTGTATTGACACTGAAATACAGGCAACAACAAAAATGTGTAACTTACGATGACAATAATAAAATGAATCACATGGAGCTTGGACAAAACTTTAGTACGGACCGTTAGACGATATAACGTCAGTTTAGGTTTAACGTTAATTAAGTTCAGACATACAGACGCTAGTTAAGTGGGTGTGGCGATGCCAGGCAACAAAACATTTGCTAACCAATAACGTTACCGTTTCTCCAAAAACATAGTATTTCTTCATATCAGTTTAAATCTTTCGGATGTTTATTTACCTGTTTAGTTGATGAAAAATATACAATTTTGCCTGCCTCTGGTCGTACATGAATACGTAACGTTAGCTAACGTTTATCTGACATGAACAGCTGAGCAACCACGGGGCGGAGCTGACGCTCAACCAACCTAACGGTGACTGGTGACCAGCTAACATAGCTAACCTCAGTTTGCTTAAGTCGTTCTATTGGCAACTATTGTTCTCTTTCTCTCTTTGCTTAATGGTAGTGTTTACGTGTGTCACTTTTGCTAAAATTAAATTAACTCTTGTGTTGACAATGCACGGTGCAATAACCTGTTTAACAGTACTATGGAACACTCCAGAGTTTCGGTTGTTTCTTGTCGACTGCATAATACGGGAGACAAACTTCTCCGGGTTGCATTCAAGAAAGACATTTTCTAACAAAACTTTGACTCTGATCATTTTAAATGCTGTGATATGTAATTTTTATATACAGTCTATGGAAATTAACATGTAAGACATTTCTGTAGCATTAAAGATACAATAAAACCTTCCGGTGTTAGCCTTAATTTGGGATTAATATTCGAACAATATGTGAAGTGTTGTGCTAAAAGACAAGTTTCAAAAGTAGGAATTAGAAAATAGGAAAATATAAAGAAAAAAATAGTAATATAAAAAGAGTTAGAATGTAACACACATTTAAAGGTAAGCAATACAACTGTATTACAAGACAAACATTTCCAATGTTCACGGTCCCTTTGCAACGTTTTGTATTTGTGCTCTTGAATGTTCCCTGTTTGTCTTTAAAGACCAGCCCACAAGTTTGTGACACCATCAAAAGTCATATCATTGAGTGTTTGGGCTCTAGTCGAAGTAGACTGTTGACAGTGTGGTTTGGCCTCTTACATAATGGCTGGAACAGTTTTAACTCGGTGTGTGAGCAGGACTTTACTCTCAGTATCTGGTGCAAAAAACATCCTAATCAGGGGGACCAACCGGCGTTACTGGACAGCTTCAAGAAGGACGGCCACTGAGCTGATTGTAAATAACGATGGATTTTATTCTTACTCATCGTACAGTGCTGTTACTATTCCCGAAACTGTTAAAATCGTTAACTTTTACATACTTACAGATGCCCAACTTCGTGAATTTACGCTTTAGAAGGACATATACTATATTATACTATACTACATTATATACTATTATGCTATACTACACTCAGACAAGTGCCATACTGCAGCTTTGTGTCACGCAACAGTATGCTGTTGAGTATGATGATGGTCTTGATTGTGTGAATTGAAAGCTTCAAATTCAAACTCTACAATGATCATGGGTGAGTGCGGTTCCCTGGTGCCTCCATACTGCATCTCTGGCAGTGTCAGGTTACCTTGGGTCAACAGAGACAGATAATCGCCAGCACCCAGGAATCAGAGTTTTAACTCTTGTCCCTTGCATATAATTCCTAATGTGTGTTTATGTCCCTTCCTTTTTGTGTGTACAGAGGGGAAGAGCTACATTCCTCCTGGGCCTCCCCACACTTTCCTGCCTGGTTTACAAAGCTTATCATAGGGTGCAGAGTTCACCCGTGGTCCACGCTCTAGAAAAAGGTAGTTGGATAACTCTGCTAGATGTGAGATATCTTTCAAATACAGATTTTGGCACAAAAAACATGTTATATTCAGGAATTAGCTGAAGAGTACCGCAGTCATAATCACTGTGACATAAATCATAATAAACACATCTTGCTATGAGAACATTTTTGGGACAGCATGAAGGAAAATGAAGAGAGAGACAGAGTTTAGGTTTAGTCTAGTGAATAAGATCATTTCTAACTGAATTAACTATTTTTTGTCCGTGCAGAGGAGGTTTTGGAGCAGGCTGACTACCTGTATAGCTGTGCAGAGACAGAGAAGCTGTACCACCTGCTGCTGCGGTACAAGGACAGGCAAGTAGGACATAACCAACTCTTCTCTGTTCTCACTTTTCATGTTTTCTCTATTTCTCTTTGTTATCCCCAAAACCTTACTGGAATATACTCTGTTTTTGGTGCATTATATATAGGGCCCGAGCACAAAACGTGCGAGGTCCCTATTGAAACTGAAGGGATTATTTTCTTTAATTTTTCTGCTAAGTAACCTTAATTTTGGGGGCCTAAAAACATACCGGAAAACTCACCAAATTTTGCACAAAATTTAGGCAGGGCAAAATTTTTTTGTTTTTGTGGGTTTTGCGCATAGGTGTGGCAAAATGGCTCGCTAGCGCCCCCTACAGAGCAGCCGCGGACAAAGTTTGAACTAGTGTACGAAATTTCTGTGCGTCTTGGAGCGATGCAGAAAATCGCCAGCACACAGAAAGTCGGCCATTTTGGATTTAATGGTCATTTATGGCAATTTACACACTTTGTACTTTAACGTAACTACATTACATTACATGACGAACTCCTCCAAGGGAATTAGTTCGATGACTTCAAATTTTCTGTCTACTCCTAGCAGGTTGGGCATATCAACTTCAAAACTGTCCCAGAAAACCCTTAACACATTGATGAAGCCGTGTTGTAAAACTTGTGAGTTTGCAGTTAACGGCGTGGCGGTGGAATGGCGGCAAAGTTAAACTGTTCGCCAAGACACAGGAAGTTGTTATAACTTCAGTGTACATGCTCAGATTTGTACCAGATTTTACACGAGTCCCGCCCTGAACACATGTACATGCCAGAACACACAGGAAGTGATGATTAACACCTTTTGTGTAGCGTCCAAAGCAAGTGGCAAATTCACAGCCGCACCGGCAGAGCTCTAGAATCTGCAACGCGGCCGCCAACGCTGCTTGCAGCTTTAATATTTACTATCCCCGCTCAGTGTCTTTTTTTGTTGAAGGTTGAGTGCATTGACTTCTGCCACAGTGTCTTTTTTTTTTGAGTCAAATTCCTCATATGTGTACACAGATCTGGCAAATAAAACTGATTCTGATAGGAGTATGTTGTTGTGATTTAGTTTCATGCACACAGCATCTGTTATTTAAGAGGTGGTGACTAATTAATTTGTCACATGTGTATAAACTCATCCAAGTGCTGTGTGTCCATCCAGTGATGATGCAGAGTGCCTGTGGAGGCTGGCTCGGGCGTCTCGTGACCTGGCCCTCATGACCAACTTGGAGGCCAGACGGAAAAAGGAGCTGGTTTATGAGGGCTTAGAATATGCAAAGAAGGCCCTGGAAAAAGATGAGAAGTGTTTTGCAGCGCACAAAGTAAGACGGCGGTTTCACTAAGAAGGCCCTACTGATTCACCTCTACTAGGTCCGATTTCACCAAACTGTCCACATTCTTCTTCCTAACACAGTGGTATGCAGTATGTCTCAGTGATGCTGGAGAATACGAGGGAGTCAAGGTGAAAATTGGGAATTCATACATCATCAGGGAACATCTAGAGGTGAGAGGACATTTGAGTCAGTGTTATATTATCATTGTATCACATTTATCTATATTCTGAGGCGAAACATGTTGCTTTTTCCTAGAGAGCCATCCAGCTCAATCCCAAGGATGCCACTTCCATACATATTTTGGGTTACTGGTGAGCCGTTTATTTTTATTATTTACTATAACAAACCGCTGGTGTAACTTTTTTTTTTTTTCCCCCAGTACAGCTGCTTCAGGAACATCTGAAAGTTCAGTTTATATCAAGTCAGATATGGACACAAACTTAGACCAGCCAAGTCCGTTTTACAGTTCTCCCACAAATTTGCGTCGCTAGAGGAAGTGATGCTGGCAGTGGATTTACTTTTTACTTTTGGAATGGCCGCAATGGTAAAGTTGGAGACTCTTCACAGTTGGCGTTAAAATTAAGTAATCATTTTTAAGTAAGTTGTCACTCTTTGAGGCCCACCGAATGCAGAAACAGAACTGGATGGAAACCTGATGGAAACAAACTGTGTAAAAAAACAAAACAAAAAAAAACTACTTAATTTTAACTTTATTACGGAAGCCCTAAACGGCCATCAATTCATATCTTTATTTTACTCCATTTCCCCGTAATAACGAGATAATTATCTTGTGATCTTGAGATAACAAACCATAGCTGAATTCAGGGGTCGGCAGGTGTATTTCCTATGATAATTTCATGTGAAGTTACTGAGTCAGCAGATAGTTCAGTTGATTGAGTGCAGGACTTGCATCCAAAGGGTTGCAGGTTTGACCCCTGCTCTTTGCAAAGTTTTTTTTATTCTTCTTTTGTGTGTTTTTGAATCCTTCTCTTCAACAAAGTTGTTATCAAGAGATTCAGGGGTATCGAATCACACATATCCCGACAGATATTTCAAAGGTTCTGAAATAACCGTCAGGAAATGTGTAGTTAAATGGATTCCCCTGAATGAGAAGCAGATGAATTTCCTCTGCCTGGGAATGATGGGGAACCAATTGCCGGGATGCGCACACTCCAGCACGTGATTAACGTGAGCATGTGAATCAGTCATCTTCGTAACAACTTTGTTGAAGAGGAATATGAAAAAGATTTTTTTTTTTTAAGTTGGTCTCACATAAGGATCAAACACACAATTTTTAGACTATGAGTCATGTACCTTACCCACTGAGCTATTCAGTAACTCTAAAACCACCTTGAAATTACCATTGAGAAACGTTCTTGCCAACTCTTTTGTTAAACTACTGGTTTTTTTTTATCCTGTTATCAAGGGATTTAGCAGGCTTTTTAATTTAAAAATCTGGTGGGAAAAATTAAAACTCACTTGGAAGAAAACACAAATGTGTTTAGTCCTGTTTAGAACGTGGTGTGTAGTGGTGCACTGCAGCCTCTTGTGACCGAAATGAGTAGTTGCAATATCAGGCCTTTTGTCCAAGATGTTGCCATTGTGTGAAATAATTCTATCCTGTTATTAGAGCTTTAAGTCACTAAAAGTTTTTATTATTCAGGTAAATTTATTGTCTTCTTGCTCTTAGGTGCTTTGCTTTTGCTGAGCTGCCATGGTATCAACGCAAAGTGGCGGCTGCAATTTTTTCATCACCACCTACGTCCACATATGAGGAGGTGAGGACTCCTCGGTCTTCTGTTTTGTGACTAACTACACAGTGGCGGACATCACTTATTTGTCACTTTCTGGTTTTGGCTTTGGATGATGTCGTGTTTTTCTGCCTCTTTCAGGCTTTGGAATTCTTCCTGAAAGCCGAAGAAGGTAAAACACAGCATACTAACGAGGCTGAGGCAATGCCTGAAAAAACTGCAGATCTCCTTGTTGGCTGCAGCTCAAGTTCTTCTTCTGAAAAATCATGACAGCACCGTGCTTGTAAACAATTTATATAAAAGCTTTAAAATGTATTCAACTAACATTAATTTCTGTGTTTTTATTTTTGTCAGTTGATCCAAACTTCTACAGTACAAACCTGCTAATGCTCGGGAAGACCTACATGGCCATGAAAGACAAACAGAATGCACTTCTTTGGCTAACCAAAGCAAAAGAGTACCCTGCTCACACACTGGAAGACAAAGAGGTACAAACACCATGATTACTAGGTTGTTGTCTTTTTTTAACCTCTCGACTCAGACGTGTTATAGTTTTGTGAAGAAAATGCTGAAACACCTACAGGAATCTTGATGCAGGAATTGTACGTGCTAATGTGAACATGTGGGTTAACACTGTATTTGTTCCTCTGCAGGTCCATAAAGAAGCTGTTGACCTCTTGAAGAAGCTAGGATAAAGCGGTCATCACCATTGAGTTGAATGTGACGCCTTTGATATATTAGGGTGTGTTAATTATCGCTAACAAAATGTTTTCTTTTTATGATTTTGTAATAATACTGTAGAACTGAGTGGGCTTGCACACAGCATACATACCTCTTTTATAGTTAAGGCAATGTCCAGTCATCCAGCTTTGAGTTTAGTTAATGCAACGTCTGTATTTTTTCAATTCTGTATTTTTTCAATTCTTTCAATCCATTCATGCCTGAATTCCTCTTGCTGATTTTTCTGACATTGACTTTAGAGGCGAGCACATTGCATTTGCTGGACCAAAATGTAAAACATTTTTGATACCAAATCACCGCACAAATGTTTCGTCAAGTCAAAAGACAAATGGTTTTATGTTTGGGAGGGGTGGACTGGGGAAAAGTTGCAAATGAATTACATTTTTAGAACTTCTAAGTGTAATCAAGAAAGTTAACCAATGTCATTACCAAACTGGATCTGTATACTTACAATTCACGATCTGTAGTATCTGCTTTCTCAAATCAAATGTACATTTTATTCAAGTATACGCATTTACTTTCATCTTTGCCACAATTGCTTTAACTTAATGATTGTTTTTTCAACAGCATAGGATGAACTGAACTGTTAATAATACAAAAATTGTGCTCAATTGTTGCCACTGTGATTGCAATTGTTACTAAATGGCACTTTACAACTGTGGCCTTGTGTGGTTTGTCTTCAACACATTCCCCATGACACTAGTCATGTTGGCAAGGAGGTGCCTCAAATAAAAAAATTAGTGGAGTCTGATTTGTATTTTACTTAAAGCCTGCAGCTATCGGATGTAATATGACAGTTCTTATTTGCATTACTCTCACATATAATGAAATAAATCCAAACCCGCTGTAAAGATGGTCAGAAACATTTATTAAATACGGTTCTTTCCACAGGCCAGAACTAATCAAAACAAAAAGGATAAACCAAGAGCACATTGTTTTGTTTTTTTCTTTAAGAACAGAATAAAAATAGTTTTGCTGTGAATCCTGAGCAGAAGGCCTCTCATCCCCCAATAATCACACCACAAAAAAGAAGGCATGGTCATGGAGGGGGTTTATTCACTTATTTATTTGTATCTCATAAATCCATCTCTTCATTAAAATGGCTGAAAGCAGATTAAAAATGAATCTTCTATACACATCGTCTCCAGTAAAGGGGCATTCTGTACAGTGTAGTTGGTGTTTACAGTGTGTATCTACACGCGATATGTTACAGTTTGGATGCATTTCAGATGGCCTCAACCATAGTCACCACAAAGTTTCCTGCTGCATCATCACTTACTGAAATGATATACAGTATCATGAAAAAGCTTTGCTTTGACGGGATACACCTGACCAGGTGATACCTAATCTTGTTAGTGGCTACGATGAAGGCAACCTGAAATGTCCCATCTACTTCTGATAAGAACAAAAGGCATCACAGATTTCCGTCAATGGAGCAGTGGCTCTGTGTAATTATAATATTTAAGTACTTTATTTACTTTCATTATCTTTATACAATGAATATTCACATACACAGTTGATTTTGTCTGATTACAGGTTTCTGCTCAAAAGGAAGCACAATGTTATGCAGTTTTGACTTCTCTTAAAAGTCGTCTCCTTTTGCTACAGTAGATGTTTTTCTTCATACTGTCATCCGTCCTCCCAGCTCTTCCACTGGGACAGCTCAATACGTTATATACATGACTGATAACTTGAGTAATCACAAGCTCCTCCTAGAAAAAGTCTAAAGCAGCTTGCTGCTGTTTGCAGTGGTCTGAAAAAGCACAATGCTAAAAGGAGAGGAGAAAACAAGGAGGATGGCGTGCCACTGCCATAGTTTTTATTCTGTGTTTAGACCACTGACTGAAAGAATAAGCACCAGAGTTTAGAAACCAAGGAGTTAGACATGCTGTTTTGAAAAACAAAAGGCATGTCCCCTGACGGATTTAATGAAGTAAAGGACAAGGGGAAAGTGGAGGTGCAAGAACAAAAAAACACAACATATAGCAATGCAATGTATCATCAGGCTTGCTGCTGTGTTAGTCTTCAAACAGGCCTTAAGCTGCTGAGGAGTTGCAGTGTGAAACGTTTCCACACATTTGGTCTGTGGCACGTTAGCGTCTCATTAATGGAGTCTTGTAATCATTACTTGTATGTGGACAACGCTAGTTTGTTTTTCTGCGAACTGCTTCAACTTCACCGATTTATACACGCACACATTATTAAAAACAAAGTCTATCGCAGCACAAAGCTTGAGAATGAGACTGAACATGGGCTGATTACATTAAATTGTTTGATCTCAGGAAAGAGGGCTCAGCGTTATGGCTCGAATTTTGTGTAGCATAACTGTAGTCAAACTGTTGACTGCACAGCCAAATAACAGTCACAGAATTGTTATTTTTGAACAATACTGTAGTGGTTTCTGACCCAGTTACAACGTTTCTAGTGAATCTATAGGCCCCTCAAATATGCTTTTCACGCTTATTTTCTTTTCCTTTGACAGTTTCCACTCCTCCCACACCTCCATGCAATGTATGCTTGTATATGTTGCTTTCAAGTCATTCAAGACATGAAATTTGATACTCTTCTATCTGATCTCTCTAATATCCTTTTTCATCACTGACCAAAAACTCTTTATCCATTAAACTTTGTAGGACATTTACTGCCATGTTAATGACATGTTTGCAACAATGCTAGGGTTTCTATGCAGCACTGGATTCGGTTGTAATAAGTTTATGCTTGGTAAACAAGTGAGAAGCTGACAACAGCTTTTTTTCCAATACCTGTAGGAATGTACTGGAAGGAGTACATTCATATGAATGAGATGTCCTTTGGACCTTATGATACCAAAGATGGCCAAATATCATACACTATCATTAAAGGTCAGTTTTCATTTGGTATGCATCATGTTACAGTGATAATCTTCATAACAAAATGCACTGTATGGGTATTTGTATTGTGATAAGTATAGATGAGGGGTTAAAGTAAAGGTGATCTTCATGTTAGCAAATAAGCACAATCATGTCTGGTGCTCTGTAAACCACAGTGGCTTCATAGTTCTGGAGACACTTCACAGTCTGAGATCAAAAGTAAAAGAAGCAAAAGAGAATCTGCCAAGCACAGACACACCATGGACCTCTGAAAATTGAATGGGTCATCCTGGTGTGCATCTTACTTGCCAACTGAAGCAGCGGGCTGCAGTCAAGGGGGCCTGGAACATGTCCAATGTCTCTGGTTTAAGCATCAGAACTATAACCCACAGGCCCTAACGCCACCACGCTCACAATTCACCTTTTACTTCAATTTAAAATATTTTCCTTGAGTCACCATATTCCTTTTGTTTTTTGATATAGTAGCCTCTCTTCAAGAACTTCAGTCTTTTTTTCCTAAATGTCTTTATCCAAACCAGTGGATCCGGTTATGCGTCTTACTCTGGGCTGCTATCCAGAATCTCATGGAGGGAAAAACTGTATGAGAGGATAATCTCAGTTTCAGCTCATTCCATCCAGAACACTTTGCCTTTTTGATGATTATGGTAAAAAAGGAGAAAGAAAGAGGCAGATCATCCATGCTAAAATGTCTTTGTGTGTGTGTGGTGGAGAAGGGTGGTCACAGCAGTCTTCTCATCTTCAGAGGCAGCCATGCAAGCACGCAAAAACTGCAATTACTATGGGTCCAACAGGGAGGGGAAAAAAATTCAGGCACCAGACCCCAATACTACTTTTGCCTTTTAGAAGCTCTATAGAACTAGAGCTTTAAAAGAAGATTGCGCTTCGACTATAAAATCCTCTCAAAAACACTTTGTCTCTTTTAAAAAGCCAGTCAGCAGTGGGGAGGAAATAAAAAAAATCCATGATTTCTGCTTTTAAACAGAGGAGCAAAAATGTTGAAATGCTTGCATATTTCACGATGGGGCATCATATAATATTTAAGGAGTAGGGGACAGGATTGCGGCAAAAGTGATGCTGCAAATTAAGATTTGGTTTAAAATGACAAAATAGCTTATATACATTGGTGGTTATCTTGTGCAATTTTTTTTGTTTGTTTTACTTGGCTGACTAAACAGCGATGGGGAGGGAAAGAGATACAAGAGGACTCTTCCCTCTATTCCTGGCCAAATCCTTCGGTTTCCTCGATGGCAAAGAGCAGCTTCTCCTTCAGCTGTTCGAAGCTCTTGTAAGGAGGCAAGTCCAGACGGTTAAAACTGAAAAGACAAAGAGGCGGGGACCAAAGATCAGCGTAAAGGATCAAATGCTTAGTAAAAGATGTGTTGTTTATATATTTTATTTTTGCTGCTTAAATGTGTGATTGTGTACGTGCTGGCGTAATATGCTATATTAACCTATGAATAGATCTTTGTTATGTGACAACCAGAAACTGATGTTCTGTTAAGGCCATGGCCTTGGGAGAGTGCTCTTTTTATTTAACATTCAGTCTGCAAATACAAACAGTGACATTATTTTTACATGGTTTCTGTGTTTCTCTGCGCTTCCTCTTTAAGTGCGTTTTCAGTAAAAAAAAATAAAATAAAAATAAAAAGGTCCATGTAAAACGAGTGAGTCCAAGAGAAGTGACTTCTCCTTGTATTTTTAATCACTATCTTTGTGATTTCTTTCTTAAAATTTGCTTCCAAGGAGCATACGACCAGATGGTTTTACTTTCACTTGGTTTGCTATTCAAATAGTTATCATCACTATGCACAACTACGTTGCCACATGCCAGTATTTTGGTGCCTCCCTGCAATAAGCCTTTTGCCGCCCTTGGATATTTATTCTAGCGCCAACACTGTTTCTAAGTGAATTTTGGCTGCAGTGATGCAGCAAAACTCATTGCACCTGTGACTGGAAAAGTCTGCAAAACTAATTGAGAATTTACTTTTGTTATTGCATTTAGTGTTTTTATCCGGTGTCATCCATCCCGACAGCAATCAATAAATACACACACGCACAAAAATAAATCTGTGGCAAGGGGTGGTGATGGTGCATAGATAAGATGATTGATAAGATGCTTGCCTTTGGTGTGGGAGACCTGGGTTCAATTCCCACTGTGAGACATTGTGTCCCTGAGCAAGACACTTAACCCCTAGTTGCTCCAGAGGCGTGCGACAAAGTCGCTTTGGATGAAAGCGTTAGCTAAATGAATAAATGTAAATGTCGCAGGACAGCCAGTCATTTCATTGGGTCCAATCTGCCTGTCTACCTACATGCCTACCACTCATGAAAATGTGTTTTTGGGGAGGCCTGAAGGAAATGGTGGGATTTTTTCAGCAAAATCTAGCTCTCTTGCTAGTTTCTCCAATGTTGCCATCCCTAGCTTTAAGTACAAATTAGAGTTGCTCCGATCAGTCTGTTTGGGCCGAACACTGAAAGTAATATCAGCCGAAACCGATCACCGGGTCTATTTGAAGCCTTTTATTTATGATGTAGCATTATACAATATACTGTATATTTATTTAATTAGTCCTAAAACAATGTATAGATAAGTATAAAAATTAACAGATGCTAAAGTATCATGAAATGACAACTGTTTATTTATTGCCAGGAAACATGGGCAACAAATTCCACTCTATCTGTCTTAGAGACTTAAACCAGGCATCCTGAGTCAATGATAAACTCTAAAGTAGCTGCTTTTTGTTCTGGAAAGCTCAGGCAGGTTCTGTGGGCTTTAGGGGGGAGAGAGGAGCAGAGAGAGGGAGAGTGGGCAACAGAGAGGAGTCATAACGGTCATCATTGAGATTTGACATTTAAATAAATAAAAGTACAATGTTAATTCCATATTATACTGTTAGTATATTGTTAATATTACTTATAGTTACTATATTAATTAAGGCCCTATAACATTTCAGTGGGTTGTTTTTATTTATTAAATCCTTATGCAAGAAGCACAGCCTACATCTTTTACTTAAGCCTACTGCCACCGGCTTTACCAGAGAAGAGAGTAGCCAACACTTTAAATACGGCCAGCAGGTTTTTATTTGATTTTATAAAGGTTAAAGATATGGGAAATTTACAAGGAAACATTTAAACGGGAGGATACCCGGTGAGAACGGAAAAATACGGGAGAATCCCGGGGAAAACGGGAGAGTTTACATGAGAGGAGTAGACAGAGGAGTGGGGTAATGTTAGGCTACATCCATGCTACTACGTTTTTTTAAACAGTTTTATAACAAATACGATCTTCTCTGTCCACAGCATCATTTTAGCTGCGTATCAGAGATGATCTCAGTCAATATTAAAACGACTGAAAACACACACAGATACACTGGGCATGCGCAAGCCGGTGTAAACATGAAGCAGATGGTCTAACGTTACACCGCTATTGCAGAAGATTTGGCAAAAGAAGAAAGTAATACAGATGAAGAACCACACCAGGTATTTTTTTTTACATTCACCAACAACGAAGTGGAAATGTTTAACAGGGAGTCGTCGCAAAGTAAATACAGCGACATGCACAGTAGGCCAACTGTTAACTGTTATTTACACAGTAAATATATTTTAATAAAAATACTGAAACGAAAACTCTGTCAGTAGCATCATGTTTTGCTTTGCATGACTGATAAGATCAAATCAGAAAGCCAAATGTGAGTGTCTGTGTCATCATTTTATAGAGTCCTCTGTTTTGCCCACTGGGTCGGCAGCATTTTTAAACAAACATCTTCTGGTTCGCCGTTTTAATCTGGGAGGCAGAAACATAGCAAAAGGTCTCCGTTTTATAACGAAAACAGAGAGAGTGCTTGGCGCTTCTCTTTGCATCAGGAAACTCACACTGTAGGATCAGTCTCTCTCTGCCTGATGCGCTGAGTGTCTATTAAACTCTGGTTGCAGTCGGCGTGTGATCGCTCCTGCTTGTTGCTCCACTTGTCTGATTGCTGCTCAACTCTCATTGTAAATGATTTGACTTGGCGCATCAATCGCTTCCAGTCTAAAAAAGACTTTGGTGCTAGCTAGCTTTAAAAATGGTTCAGATTGCGTAGTGAAACCATTTTAGCTGCTGTTGAAAATTTGTCGGCGAGTATTGCATCATCTGATCGACTTTTTCAAGTTAAAGCCATTATCGGCCGATTAAGATCGGTGACTGATCGATCATCGATCACCCTTAGTACAAATTTATGTAAATCCCTGTGAACAGTAAAATATTTGTTACAATTTCTGGGCAAAACTATGTGAGAGAGGCATGAATCCCATGAATCAGAGGTAGAGCACTCCACTCACCATGTGTGGCTCCGAGGAAGCCATGTGTCCTTTCCCACCTTCTCAATGCAGAACTTCTGGGGCCCGTTACTTCCTGTAAAGCAGAGACGAGGGATGAGAAGATTCTATATGAAATATACAGGTGTATAGTATGCATCTGCAGCTCTTGGTGTCTGAATGATTATGTAGTAAATGTGTTCCTCTGTGTGCATGTGTCACTGACCCATGAGTTCAGCAAAGCCGCCCAGAGGAAGCCTGCAGGTTCCAGTAACAAACTGCATGAGCCTCAGTCGCACTTCGTTGTCCACCTCTTTCACCAGCTGAAGAGGAGGAAGTGACAGCACACTCACCAGAGACCACACACTAATGACTAAACAGATTGTTTAACCATCATTTGATATGATAAACATTGAAAAGGCGCAACATGAACTTAAAAATATGCGATATGTAAGCTTTGAATTTCCCTGCCAGTAACACGATAAATGTGCAACACACAGAATATGCTGCTCACTCCAATATAAACAGTAGAGGTTAAGGTTGAACGATTTGGGAAAAAAATGAATTGCAATTTTTCAGCCAGATGTTGCGATTATGATTCGATTTGTGATATATATATATATTTTTTTTAAGTTTAGCTAGAGTCAGAATAGACTGGCAGCACAGAGCAGATGAACAGGGCAGGAAGTCAGACACAGAACAGCAGAGAGAATCCGGTCAATTTTCTAAATAAAACACCCTGTGCAGACTCCCGGTCCTATGTCAACAGTAAACACGGTTAAAACAGACCAAAAAAAACCCAAAAACATTTAACTATGTGCCCTACTTAACCATTGTAGAAGCACAAAACCTCGGCACAGCCGCTGCCTGTATCTGTTCACCTGACGCCATTATCCCATGTTTTCCTCTAGTTTCGTTCGTTGCTGTAAAATGCACACGCCCTGTGCCCGCTCTGATTGGTGAGCAGGACCACAACAGGAGGCGCATGGAGCTTGAGATTGGTTAGCAAGTCTGTCACACAAGAATTACAACGGAATTAATCTGTAACTGTATGACTGTTTAAAACGGTCATGCAATAAATGTAGGGTAATTATACATTGCATAATTAACCTACATTGTAATCGCCGTTCTTTCAAATCGCAATAAAGATTAATTGTTCAGCCCTAGTAGAGGGTAAGGAATATAGAAACAATGTGTGTGTTTGAGTGTGTGACCGTACCTGCCAGAACCAGATGATCTGTTTGCTGTTCCTTGTGTAGTGACGGTAAACCGTGTTCCTCTGCCAGTCCTGCAGATCGACCTCCTGCATGCCACACAGCATCACCTAGATCAAACACACACATACAAGAACAGAGAGCACATAAACAGGAGTAGAAGGGACAGCTGCCTATGGGAATTCACAGAGAGAGAGGCACATCAATATTATTTCATTGTTTCTAATTTTAAAAAGGCATCAACAGCACAGAGCACCAGTATCAGGCATGCTGCTCACCTCGAGTTCCTTTTCATCAAAGTACTGGAGCCACTGAAGTGGAACCACCTCGTTGAAACCATCCAGGAAAGCTTTGGTTTGACCTTCTACTCCGCGGGAGAACCTCCACTCTGCCATTAGACTGCAAGCCAGACAACAAAAATTTACTTGTGAGTAAAAAAAAAAAAGAAACAAAATATATATAGATTTACTCAAAATGATAGTCATAGGTCAGAGATCGGTGCTGTTGGGATCAAACAGTGGTTATCCTGAACCTGATATACTCCTCCTTGTTCTCCTCAGTGACCAGAACATTGGTTCCATCAGGTTTAAGGTCATGAGAGGTGATCTTTCCCAGGATCTCCATGTCCACCGAGAAGTACATCTCCAGACCACACTCTTCAATGTTGTTGTCCCTGAGGAGAGATGAGATTGTGTTGCTGTCACATCATAATCAAGAACAGCTCAAAAACAAACAAATAATTCTAATAAAATTTCCATCTTTCCATCCATAAGCACACAATTTGGCTGCCTTAGAAAGGTGATCTAACACTGCCTATGTCTACAGTGTTTGCTCCATCTTTGCTCATAACTGTTCTTGTATCTTGTGATGTCTGTAATTAACTGCTTCATCCCTGTGTGAACAAGTATCTTTTCCATATTCCCACCATTTTCTCAATCCAGTCTTCCAGATTAATCCGGAAAAATCACATCCCTATTCATGCATTTAAGACTTTGCGCCTTTGTCATTGTGCATCACCAGCGCTTAGCAGACCGCAAAGGAAAAGTTTATTTCTGTGACTGTCTCATTGCACTTCACTGTCCCCTTTTATCTTTTCTAGTGATCACACAAAGCTCGGGAGGACATACTGTAGCTGACAGGAAGTATTAGTTGAAAGTGAAGTGGAGCAGGTCCAACCGTTTTGGGTGATTTCCGATCTGTACGCTTGTTTGGCCTCCCAAAACAGTTTAAAGGCATATTCAGTTTGTCTACATAACCTGATCCAATAGTGCATGCACACACACGAGTAGGGTCAAGGGACCTTGGGGATTATTCAAACAAAGAAGAGGAACCATCACTAGATAATTTATTTAAGAATGCCCATAGTGGACAGACTTCACAGATGTTAATTTTCCTGCCATGCTCTCTAATGTCCCACGAGTACACATATACATTCTGAAGGCTATGTAGACCAAAGACACAAATTACCTGATCCATATAAGAGAATTGTAGAACTCCGGGTCGATGGACTCCAGGTCTTTCAGTATTAGCTTCTTGTTCAGCATGCGTTTGTAGAAAGGCAGAGAGAAGCCTGTGTCGATGAACTTGCCGTGGAAAAGTGCCTGGTGTAAGAAATACATAGAATAAGTGAATTTCATTTTTTTTAGTGCCGGTAAATCTGAAAATGTGGTATCTATAAGGGATGCACTGAATGTTTGGCCACCGAAATGAATCGGCCGAAAATAGTAAAAAAAAGCACTTTCGGTGTTCGGCCTAATAAGCCAAAAGACCAATTAAATTTTACAGACCAATTATGTTTACATGTCGGCAGTGTGGAAGCATTTTAAAGTGTCCGAGAAAGACGCAACAATCACCGTTTGCAGACACTGTTCTGCTGAATTGTCTCCTAGCACATCCACTCCATCTGTGGCTGACCCGCTTTGAGTGTTTCTGTCACTCGTTTCTGAGAAGGCGATAAAGCTAGCCGCACCTAAATTTGGAGTGCACACGTATTTAAGCCTTTATGGTAACTGAAATGGACCAGAGCGAGTTGACGGGCAGGTTAGTGTCTTTATCCTGTCATTGTCAAGTGTTGCAGTGTCTTCTACCTGAAGAGAGGCAGTGAAAACTTCATGTTACGCGATACGAGTACCACATACAACATAAATGGACACATATAATTTACTTTTCCGGACCCTCTCGAGCCTCAGACCCACCCACCATAGTCTCTCCAAATCCTGTGGGGAAACACTGAGTAAAAAGTACATTTTGACAATTTAATTTATGCAATGGTAAAAACAGAACAAGGCAAAAATGTAAATGTACTTGTTCTGTGTAAATTCGGCAAATTTTTTCCATTATATTCGGCTTCGGCTTCGGCCAAGAATTTTCATTTCGGTGCATCCCTACAATATTGATCACATGACAGATCAATGTATTGTATATAAGGAAATCAGCTATCTTGCTTTCCCTGATGAAAGTACGATAGCTGAAAATGTTTGACAATCTGAAAATGATTGTGTGTGTTTCTAACAAAATAAACTTAACATGGCTATTTATGGTCAACATATTTGACGCCTGTTTAAATTTTTGGGTTTGTGTAGGTCTTAGCATTATCAGGACAGTTTGCGTGTGTGTGAGCAGCATGTGAACTTACCATTGCGATGAAGCGGCCTATGAAGCAGAAGTAGGAGAGGTGGTCTGGGTTGATAGCAGAGGCCGGGTTGATCTGCAGACAGTAGTTGCTCTTGCCGGCATACTCAAACAGACAGTACATGGGGTTCAGCACTTCATGGGACAACAAAAAGAACCACTCTCTGCAAAGTGACATGAGGGACAAAAAGACAAAGGGCAAGGAGAGAGGACGAAGATGAATTACAGTAGAAACGGGGAAGTAAATGAAAGGAGAAAAATAAGGAGAATCAGAGAAGGGAGAGGGAGGGAGACAAGAGTTGGACATGATCAATTACTGCTTAACATTTCGCAAAAAGGTAGTTTGCTCTAAAAACAAATTTATATATATATATATATATATATATATATATTTATTGTCATTATTACCGGGCTAGGCCACCGTAGTCTAGACCCTCCTCGCCTCTGAAGATGACATAGAGTCTCCTCCTCAAGTCGTAAGGCTTTAGGGCCATAATCTAACAAACAGAGAAAACACAAGATAAGCAAGTGACATAGGCACAGTTGGCATACATTTATTTTAATGTATAGCAGAGAAAAACTCATGCTCATATCAAGTGCAGTGATGTAATGCATCACTGCACTTGATATTCATTACTTTATGTCTTGTATAACATTAATTTTGACTTAAACTGGCCAGTGGAAGAAAGACCCTCTTACTTGCTGGAAAGAGTCTTCAAACAGCGTCTGTCTGGAGACTGTGATCTTCACATGGCTAGGGAGAGCATTAGACTGAGGAAAGACCAGATAAAACATTAATGTATGGGGGAGGTGCGGGTCAGAACAAGTGACTGAAAAGAGGAGTAGGAGAAAAAGAACACCTACCTGGCACAAGTAGCGAAAATGGGCAAGCTTCCATCGGAAGCTGCGCTCATAAGCAATCTGAGGGCCTTTGGTGCTGAGAGGAACAAAAAGTCAAGATGTAGCAAGTTATAAGCTGATAGATGAAATGGAAAATAGACTTTTTTTCCCTCTACAGGGTGAACAGCTGCATCTTTACCTTATAATGCAAAAAATGTGGTACATGTGAAATATGCTTTGGTACAGTCCCACAAAGTTAACATTTGGAAAAATTTCCTGGCTTTCAGAGAAAATTGATCAAATTCCCTGAACGTCCCTGTGTGAAATACAACCTTTAGAATTAACTACCAGGGGGAACCATTTTATTTTCTGAATAAACATATATTTTCTTTACCTTACCTGAGCTGTATATTGGCTAATTTGCTAATTAAAGCAAAACATTACTCCATTTGGTCGTAGTAAACATGTTCTCTTGAACCCATGGCTGCAGCTCTTCAGTCTACCGACAAAACACAGCCTCTGGCATGGCCTCCAGTAACATGTAATTTTAAGTAGCACATATGAACAAACAAGTACATTATTTTAAAATGCTTTCTTACACAGAGGACTTTCCAGTACGGGGGTCACTGAAAGTGGTGGTTCGGGTGTTGTGATCCACAAAGTAACGCACCCCTTCCCTTGTGTACCGGATCTCCCAACCTTCAGGCAGAGGATCCTCATTCTGTAGCCTGTGCACACACGGACCAATTACATACATGGACTGAGAAATGTGGAAAAGGGAAGCTATGTCCAAGGACAAGACCTAAATCCAAAACACTTAGGCAAGACTTGATTGCAACACAACTCTGGGAAAACTCTTTAACTACACATAGACCTTTGAAACATTGCAACAGGCTTTACCCCATACTTCTGTACTTGTTTTTGTTAAACTACATGCTGCGAGTCTAGACAGGCCAGCCAACTTTGAGTTGCGACTTATGTCTCTACATGAAACATTAGTGAACAACTTTACTTGTTAGCAATACCCTCAGAATTGCTAACACGTATACCAGTACATTAGAACTGCATGAAGAAGTTTTAATGTACTGGTTTTGATAGTGGGCTGTTACTGTTAAACATGTATATAGATAAAAGGCCAGATGTTATGATTGTACTGTCTCGTTTTATGTTTGTACTGTCGGACTTTTTTGTCCACGGCCCCTTGAAAAAGTCAATGTGGACAAACACAAAGCAATTTAATTGATTACTGAACAAGTTTTATATTTGAATGGTATTTCAGTACTAATGTGAACTTCAGTAACAATGTGACATTTTTTCTGAAAATTCCACTTGAAAAATGGTCATTCATTTTTTTTTTTTGAGAATTTTCATGAAGGACCAACTTGCCATACAACATGAGGTCTGAATTGCAATGTTGGTTACAATCAAGGTTATATCATCTTTTAATCACATTGTACACCAAGCTGTTGCAGCTTCCAGTGTTTTTCTAAAACAAAGTCAACAACAGGTTAATTGTGCTCATCATGGCTGAAAGATGGTGAGATCATTTCTGATACTGATGGATCAATTTGAACTCTGTATAACATCATAACCCGCCGTATGGAGTACAAGAAAGTACTATGACTACTGATTTACGTCAGGTAAGAAATTGTTGCACAGTGAAGTTCCTGGTTTAGACCCAGATATTTATTTGGATATGCTTAAATGATTTATATTTAGAAGAATAAAAAAAACAAGGGGTGTAAATTGTGAAAGAACAGCGTGGAGCCCAAAAGAGATATTCTGTTGCAGTGATCAGCATATCTTGTTCTTGTAGACTAATGAATTAGTTAGAACATCCTGGAACTGGTTAACACTGGTCTAAGTCGGGGGAAAGTATTCTATTTTGGCACACCAGTTGAGGCCAACAGAATCACGGGTCAATCTCAGAGAGAGCTATGTGATATCAATGTGGTGCAGGACAGGAAAAAGCCCATTAACTCCTAGATGACCTTTGGCATTAAAAATTATGATCTTTGACAGATCCTTAATTATAAATCCCACCTTCCCGTTTAATTTTATTAGAGTAACAACAACACTCACTAACTTCTGTGAGTTATGATGAACAATATATCTTACGCATTTTTATGTACTCTCTAGGTTGACCACAGTGTGAAAAATATCCAATTGTATATATATTGTGGTTTTCAGGCCCTGAGCTCACCCTTGTGTTCGGGGATCTTCCCACTGCGTTGTCTTGGTGTTATGGTTGACAAAGTACACTCGGTCATTGGAATCCACACGCCTCTCTAAAGTTGATAAAAACAGACAGAAATCTGTAGCTTACAATGTGGCAACAAATGTCAGATTATCACCACCAACAGACTTATTCAACTAGCTATCATCTGAGATATTTTGGACAGCAGACGGTAAGAGGTTGAGAGGAGAGTCAAGGTTGTAGAGGCAACAAAAAAAATTTGGATACATTCAGAATAATCTTGATACTGCATACTTGAACTTATACTACATCACAAAGTATTTGTACTTTCGTACAAAAAAAACCTTTTTGGCATGAAAATATGTACAATGTTCATTGTCAGCAAGAACTACTAGAGTACAGTACATACTGACACCAGCATTTAGAATAAAGAATGTGAACTCACCCCAACCAGGAGGTAGCGGGCCAAGAGGATCATTCTCAGCAGACATCATGGATGCCTGAAAACGAGGGATGACCACATAAACCTCCATTTAGAAAGCAAATGCGAGACACTAATCTGGTCAAAAGTATTCCAAATTTTATGCTCATGGAAAAGATGGAGTTTTGTCGCTGGCACAGGGCCTCTGTGACTGTGACGGTTACTGCTGAGTACTTTCTGGCTATCTGTCTTTAGATTTGTGTTATAAGCTAATCACCATCAGTGATGATGACATCACTGCTAAGATCAAAGAATTAAGAGAGCGACCCTAACAAATGTAACCAGACCAGGGCAGAGGCGTGCATATTTTAAATTCTGACAAGGTAAAGCTCTCACTTTTCTCACCTTTTCTACACGAGTTGAGCTGTGTACCGAGTTAGTGGGGTTGCAAGACAAATGCACCCAGAGAAAGAGATGAGATTTATTAGGTGGAGGACGTGAAGAACATAAGTTTCGGGTAACATAATTAGTAACCACCATCAGAAGATGGGCTCTGATGTCTAAGCTCATTATGAGGATAAGAGTTGTTTACCCGAAGAAACACCATTAGAAAATAATAATGTTCATTTGTCTTTGATTTACTCTATACTAAATAAGGCTAATCATTTTTGAAGCAAGATGTAGTGTTTTTTAACCACCTTCAGTGCAGTAACTGGATTACATTAATTTAACTATGGTATGAAAATCAAATTGCAATGACTTGCTTGAGAATTATATCACAGAAAGTGTCATTTCTGATTTCACGGCTACCAAAGTTGCATTGTTGTAGTTGCATCATGCACAGTGGTAATACAGTTTTAAGTGCAGATGTACAGGGAAGGTCTGCACTGCATACTGGACATTGAAATTAATGGAAAACCAATAACTGAACTGAATAAAAGCATTAAAAAGTTAAAATTTTACCAAGCATATGAAATGTTTGTGATTTGTCATTAAAGGGCTTGATATCCAAAATATGCTACACTTTAAAATTTTCTAAAAAGACAAAGAAGCCATATCAGAGCTCTAGATACTGGTAGAAGGGTTCTTTACCCATTATAGGCTCCAACGAAAACGAAGAACAGAAAAGAAAAGAGAAGCTAAAGTATCTTCACAAATTTTAAGATTTTTAAAAGTGGTTTCAGTCGGAGCTACATACGTTTTCTTTGTTTTCTGTAGTACTAGATAAGTGTTGTTAGGGAATTGTTTGAGCATAATGCACGCTTTAAAAATGTGATAAAAGCTAAAAGCTGGATAGATCCAGTGTGGTCAGGTGACTTAATAATGCACAGGGTGCACTGGCTGTAAGATCAAAAGACTGCAGCTTAATGCACAAATTCACAGGGGATTTGTAATTGCTAAGAGCGTTAAGTGAAAAGAGTGTTTCAGTCCATGTGGACCTTCCTCGGTACAGGGGAACCTAACTTCGCCTTGAAAAAGATACATGAATAGGAAACACAGGACACAGGACACGTGTTGTTTTTTGCATCTACTAATATGGCCTCTCTTTCGAACATTGAATTTTCTCATGGCGCGATTATTAGTATGTGGAGTCAGCATGTACAGTGTCATGCAAGGGGTATTGCACAGTACGTAAGAGCGTTAAACTGAATCATTAGGCAGGAGAACTGAATCTGCAAAGCATGCTTTTTACAGACGTAAAAATATGTTTTGAGGGAACAAGAGAATGAGGGAAGGGTGTGGGTGGGAAGTGTCTTACAGAGTAGAGGTATCTCTGGTTAAACTGGTGCATAGCTCCCTGCAGCTGGCTGCGTTGGCTTTGCCACTGCTCAAAATTGCGGACCGATTCCATGGTGGGACGCTGCCATGTGGTGGTGCGAGTATTGTGATCCACATAATAGATCCTTCCCCGGTCATCCACTCGGCGCTCCCAACTGGCACAGTGAAGGAGATGGACAGTACAATAAGCAAACAGACAGTCCGCATGACATGTCCAAGGTACAATTCACAACTTTGCAGAATGAAATTTAAATAAAAGATTATTTTATCATTGATACCTCAAACTGATGTAAAGGCAATAGGCAGCCTGAGGAAACTACTTACGCTACAACTGAACACAATTCATTAAAGTTCTGTAAGTGTAAATGATCAACAACCAATCATGGAAACAATACATCTGTCTGACGATGTGTTACCAGACATTAACTGTCAGTGAAACTGACCTAATCACAGGTTAAACTTAAACAGATTACCACATCCTACAACACATCCTACACCTTTGTTTTCTCCAAGTAGACCTGGCATGAATGGAATAATACAGCCTGAGGTGTCTTGATGTAGAAAATAACCGAATTGGCGGAGAAAACAAAACTTCACAGGCCTCTTATTATTTTCATATTTCACGACACTTCATCAGTTGCTTCAATATGTCCAGACAGGGCTCAACATTAAACTTTTTTGCAACTGGCCCTCCCTCCAAAAGCTATTTATCAGTGTTACAACAAAACCAAAGACTTATAAGTTATGTTATACTGTTACTACTACCACCTAGATATAAAAAAAAACTAAACTAAAATGTAATCACAGTTAGTATTATAAAAAATAAAAAGGTAATAGTTAACAATTTACTTTTAAAACAAAACATACTAACAGACTCAAACATGACATGCTCTCTTTCCTGCTGACATCCATTTAATAAAAAAAAAAGTTTTCACAGAGCAACAGAAACAAGTGGCCTCTATCCTGATTGACAGTTCACCCGATCGGGCCGGTGAGTTGCTAGTTCAACTGTCCCGACGTTACTTTTTACTGGCCACTGGCCCACTGTTATTGTCAACCCCTGTTTTATAGAGGACACATGCCACTTGAAGAATCCTCAATACAACTCTATAGGGAAAGCCTGTAATGCCAGTGATGATTATCTCACTAGAAAGCTAATCAGAAACATATTTCAGCCAATCATGTGGTTCCTTTGACGTAAGGGTCTACTACGCATGCGTCACTACTACCGCATATGCGTAGTAGAAGTATAATCGGTGGGAAAAACACATAAAACCTTATTTTGGGGCAAAGTCATAAATTTTCTTAGTAATTTTAATCAGATTTTACTGCTGATTCTATACATGCAGTTTTTATGTCCCAGTGACCAGTGAAAGTGCAGTTATGTCTCTCTCCCTATTCATTCAGATATGAGCCCGGTCTTATTAGTCCAAAATAACTGCCTGGAGACATTACCAAGATGGCTGCCGAGTGGCAGGACTTGCGTATAAGGACTCTGATATGTCTTAATCTATGGAGATATGGTTGAAAGCCATCAGTTGTAAAGAGTGGTATGGAGAATTATGTATAAAAGCCAAAAAGCCGCTGCTAAACCAGACAGATGAAAATGATAAAGTTGCAGCTTCCATCTCTGAAAAGGGCTGAAGACAAGAAGTGAGCAACAGTGAGATGTTCACCCTGGTGGTAGTGGCTGTGGTCTTTCCCATGTAGTAGTCCTGGTGTTGTGGTCTACATAGTAGGTTCTCCCATGGGGGTCCTTTCTCTGCTCCCACCTTAAAGACACAACAATTTAACAAAAGAAAAAAAACAGGCAAACAAAAAGCATCATAAAGTTGTGCAAGAGGACAGATATGTACAGAAATAAAATGTCAGAAAATATCCAATGTAGTTACATGATTGTGAAATAGTGTGTTTACGTACTGGATACCCAAGAGGTAGATTTTGCTGGACTATCACTTTAAGGCTGCACTCTCTTATTTACTGGCATAATACACAATATTTAGTTTTTAAATAATCAAAAACAATAGCTTCTTTGTTTAAAGTGATTAAGTGTTTAAGTGTTCAGGTCAGGAAGTCGGGGTTTTTACCCAGGTGGTAGAGGATCTGAGGCTCCAGCATTGGGGGCCTGCTGCCTGGGCTTGGCCCCTTCTGTCGTTACCGTTGCGTTGTTACCACTGCTACCACCACCTCCTGAAGCATTTGCTTCTCCCAGTGCTGGGGAGGAAGAGGATGATGACGAGGAGGTTGTGATGGTGGTGGCCCCCTGTGATGGGGAGGTGAATGTGGAGGAAGCAGCGCCATCAGTAGGCTTAGCAGCAGAAGAGGAGGCTGGAGCCTGCGTGGAGGTTGGCAGGGGTTGAGATGTGCAATTTGGTGCTGTGTCAGAGTCTGGAAGGGTCGTATCTTGACTGCAGTCCTCGTTATCTGCAGGGGGCAGCACATCACCTGTTGTGGCAGACGATGGCTCGAGCGCAGCATCACAGGACTCCCCATTGACTACAGGCAAATCAGAGAAAGACAAGGGTGTTGTTCACCTGCATCGTCTAAACACTTCCTCCATCTGTGACTTGATATCAGTGATGTCTCAGGAAGAGAATTGCCTTTTAACAGACTGACTGGGGCGCAGTTAGCTCAGTTGGTAGAGTACGCCTCATGTACAAGGCTGAAACATTACTGCAGTGGCCCAGGTTTGAATCCAGCCTGTGGCCATTCGCTGCGTGGGAACCCCTTTCTCAGGATCATCTACATATATTTATATATGCATTAACTTACAGTAACTGGGCGATCAGCACGTGTCTCTGTGAATGTTAACCACTGGCAAAAGGAATTTAAGAAATTGAAAATGACACGCCCAAGTTGAGTTGATGCCAAAGAGCTGAATTTTGGTCTCATCTGACCACAACACTTTCACCCAGTTCCCCTCTGAATCATTCAGATGTTCACTGGCAAACTTCAGACGGGCCTGTAGATGTGTTTTCTCGAGCAGGGGGACCTTGATTTCAGTCCTTCACGGGGTAGTGTTTTACCAATTGTTTTCTTCTCTTTGGTCTTGGTCATGGTGGAGAGTTTGGAATCCGATTGATTGATTGCTTCTGTGGACAGGTATCTTTTATACAGGTAACAAGCTGAGATTAGGAGCCCTCCCTTTAAGAGTGTGCTCCTAATCTCACCTTGTTACCTGTATAAAAAGACTCCTGGGAGCAAGAAATCTGACTTATTAAAATGCAAATCAATTTATGAATTTTTCTGTATTTCTTTGTTGTTATTCTGTTTCTCACTGTTCAAATAAACCTACCATTGAAATAATAGACCTATTATAAATAGACCATAATAAGTATTTCTTTGTCAGTGGGTAAATGTACAAAATTTGCAGGGGATCAAATCACTTTTCCCCTCACTGTATATCATGGCACCAAACCATTTGAGAAGTTATGTGTGCCTTATAGAAATGCAAGAGTAACATTGGTAAAACAATTCTGGAGTCACCTGTGAGCTTGTCACTCAGTGGAGGAACCACGAATGCCAATACTTATGATTACGGCACATGGGCAGGATTTTTATTTATTTGAGGAAAATTAATTTTAACTGGATTTTTTAAGTGACTAACTTAAGTAATAAGTTAATATTAAGTAATAATTAAATATTCTCACATCAACTTCAGCTCAGTGCAGTCAATGTGCTATTGGTGCCCTGCCTACCCTCCACAGAATACTGAAATCTGCTTTCCTATTCTTCCTGTTATTCTCTCCAGGGAGTTTGAGAGAGTTGCTGACAGCAGCAGAGATTACAGGCCTCACTTAATGAAAATGAATCTACTGATCTTCTCTACTGTTCAGTGGGACCAAGTGAACCATGAAGAGCTTAAACTTAAAACTGGCTTGTTCCCACCCCAGGCAAAACGATGAATACCTGCTGGAATGATACACATTTTATGAGTCCATAGCTTATTAAATAGTTAGTATATAGTACATACATTCAGTAAATATGTTGTCCAAGTAAATTATATCCAACAACATTGAGACTCATAGGGAATGATGAGCATAAATGAGAAAGACACACCCGAATAACACACATGTTGGGAGACTTCAGGGTTTTGTGACACTGAAAAGGCTGGAGACACATCGTGACAAACATGGGAACATTTCAAGGTAGCAAATTCACACATTGTGAAATGCAAACTAAAATTCAAGCTCACCCATCCTACCCTCTGTGTCACTGTCTGAGGGTTGGTGGATGGGGGTGGAGTCGAGTGTGGCGTCTCCATTGACGACATGACTAAGGGCAGGGCTGCAGGAGCTGGAAGGCACCTGACCATCTACACCATTGGAGGCCGAACAGAAGCCTGACCTCGGTCCCCAGTCTGTACCATTCACTGAGCTTTAGGAGAAAACACAAAACGAGTTCAAAAGCATTTTATAAAATATGAATTGGTGAGACAACAATTCCTTAAGTAATCCTAACACATTATTCACCTATATAATACATACAATAGAAGTTAAAAACAAAAAACTCAAGTTTTGTTTTTCTATTGGCCCAAAACAGGCTTGTAATCGATATACAAGGCTTAGTGAGGGCGAGCTAAATGTGAGCTATTTCCACTGTGTGTGCAGGAGTCAGATAAAAGACTCCTGTGACATTGAGACTATTGTCTTGTAGGGGCAAGGACAGGACACAACATGACGACTTTATGACGTAATGGGCACAGCTGAAGAGGCCCTTTTGTGAGCTGGCAGAGTTCAGTCGGTGCCACATGCGCGCCCACACTAAGACCAATACAAAATCTGCCATATGACTCAAGTCCAGGCTTTAGCAATAAGAAAAACGTCCGCTCAATAAGCCAGCAACCAAGAAGAAAGAAACAGAAAGGGTCAATGCCAAGAATTGGAATTCATTTTACTGCTTACTAAACTTAATACACAATTACCGGTAAAACACACTGCACAGACAGTGATGCCAGCTATATCAGCAGAGTGTCCACATGTGCACACTCTGCCCGTGCAGTCACTGAGTACGAAAATGTGTTTTGGGGAAATGGCTTTGGAGGGTGGCCTGAAGGGAGGGCGTGGGATTTTTTTGGTTGAATACTTTCAAAATCCAGCTGTCTCTTGCTAGTTCTCCAACACTGCCTCTCGGTCAACACGAAGGGTTTCCCTATTTGGCTGTCTGAATAGAAGTAGAAACATAAGCTAACCGGAATGGAGGGAAAGAAGCAAGGAAATGACAAAGCAAAGCAAAGTAAAAACAAAAATATAAGAGAAATCGCTGCACGGGCAAGGTGAGTAAGGCTCAGGGAATAAACAGATTTCAAAAGAGAAAAATGACTAGAGAGACACAGGTTGAAAGAGGTGAATAGAATAGAGAAGAGAGGCGATGGAGTGAAGACTGCAAGAAAACACTGAAGTGTAACAGTGGCATTAAAGGCAATAAAGGACAACAAGTTAACAGACAAAGAGAGACACAAATGAGAAGAGGTAGGGGGAACACTACTAAGTATTAAATATACCCCTGTTTGTGTCTGGCTCTTTTCTGCATTGCAGTTGCTGAGAGGAGCCAAGACACCCCCCCCCCCCCCCCCCCTCCTCCACAAACACTTCCACCAACCTCCCGTCTCCGATGAGCAGACGTGCTTCCTTTGTGGCTTTCCAATAAAAACCTGTTACCTTCGCTGAAGGGCACTTTCACAGCGCGACAGATAATAGAGACTGGCACCAGAACTTAAATCAGGAGAAGGGAATAGCCAGTATTGAGACAAAGCAAGACAAAACACAGACAGACAAGACACAGAAGTCTCAGAGGTACATCTGAGACTGCCGGCATTCCTTTACTTGAGGATAAGCATGCTCCTTGGATTGAAGGGGTTATTCTAACCAGGCCATTTACCATTTTAGGAAAAGTGAAGTAGACAGAATGTTCTTCCTCATGAAATATGTGGTGCAACATAAAATGCTCCAAAATGGCTGGCTCATTGAGGTAATTTACCTGTTGGCAGCCCTTGAGGAAGAAGAAGACGAGTCTCCATTTTCATGGATGGCATCACCGTTCTGTTGGAACTCTGGAAAGGATTGGTAAGTGTAGTAAATTACTTCAAACAAGAAACAACTGGTAAGTGACTGATTGTACGAGGATTGGGTGATAGTGTACCAGTATTTCCTGAGTACATGGATCTGTATGCAAGTTTTTGTGCCATTTTCCTCTCAATGTGCCTCGTCGTTGATCGTCGTTCACCAGTACACATATATCAATACAATATCACCCACCCGTAACATATAAATACTAAGCTTACTGGTGCCATTTGCTGCATTGCCATTGGTAAGCGGTGCCAGTTCCTCCTGATCAGTGACAGTCAGTCCATCTAGGTAGACAGTCAGCTCCCCTGTGGGTACAAGAGCGCCCTTCTGCTCCACGTTCAGCTTCAGCACCTCTTTCACATTCTCCACTGTAGAGTCAAAGCAGGAATGGTGTGGGCATTATGACAGAGTGACATCAAGAGAAACTTCATTTATAATGTTCACATTAGAGAATATCAGGCAACCTCAACAAGCCTGCTGTCATGGTGATTCTGATCAACACAATTTGAGATGATAAGGTTATGTATAGGGCAAAAGACAGAAAAGGTTTAGAATACATGACACTGATGCCAGCTAGTTTAAATAAATAGTATGAATCAGCTATTGTCTGATACTGTAGTAACTGTACACATTGTATTACAACACCGTTCTATATGTTTGATGTAGTTTAAATCATACATTTTCTGTCATGCTGCTCCAAGGCTTGAAATAGGTCTAGCGTTGCTTTGCCCAGCAGAGCATCCGTCTTCAGGGTGTGGTGACTCCATACTTTGAAATGCACCTGTGTGTGCAGTGTTACATTCCTAGAAGGTGAGGCAGGAACACACAAACAACAAATGTCATTCTGAAAACAACTTTTAACACAAATTTACGTCGTTCAGCTGTAGTAATATACAAAGAAAAACAAAATGTTACAAATATTTGTTATGTATTTAGCACCTGTGCACTCGATCAGTAGTGTTTACACTCCCACAGATAAGTATAATACAAGTGTTTTATAATCGTGTGAGACTTAACCACCATAAAAGTTCCAACAAGACTAGTTTACGACTGGACCATGTATGGTCAACATGCTATACTGCGACCAAATTGTTACATTGATAGTCAATGTAGTGTCTATAATGTGAATTCCAGGATATTAAATGTTCATCTGCAATTTTCTATAGTGGTTCCAGTTATAGCTGTTCTTAAAGTGTACTGAAGTAAAATATTTTAATAGTATTAGAGTAATAGAGTATTAGGCATTAAAATAAAACATTTAAAGCCTATCCGTCATCTCCTTCTCACAGCAGTAGATTTAATGTTGTTTTCCAGTTTCATCATACTGTTTCTGTCTCATCTGTGCACACGAGATACCGTGATGTACACCATTGCACTGTGACTCACTGGCAAAAAATGGACTGGTTATTGATTTCTCGTAATTGTGTGTTTGTGCTTGTGGGTACGGGACGGACCCAGTGGCATAGACCACATCCTAATTTGCTACTATTCTGCCAATGACAGCCTTAGAGGGAGAAGCCTACTCAATGTCAGTTACGTATAACTCCAGACTCTATGAGTATAGGTGCAGCCCCGTAAGTTGTGACTCAACTGGTTCCTTTAACTAGCTGAAGAAAAAACTATTGCTATTGCTAAAAAAGGCTATTGTTAGTGGGTTCATCCCTTGCTAGCGCAGCAATAAAGACTTTTTTGTCTACGCACTCTTACTACGTGGGACCCACTGGTGTAAGTGTAAGTTTATTAGTTTAGCTTTCTCTATAAGCTTGGGCCATTTTGAGATCAGCATTGGCTTTCTGTAGGAACGTTCTGTTTGATAATACAGATGTTTGTGGTCATTTCAGAAATCCTGTGAGTCTGTCTCTCATTTTATCTCCTTCAAATAATAAAGTGAATGGGAATTCATGAGTTGTCCTCCTATACTCATTTAGTGTATAGGGATATCACGAGAACAGATACTTTGGTACCAAGTTGATACCAAAATTCTGAAAACATGTCGATTTTTGTTTTGCTCAGTACCGAAGATCCAACACGTGGAAGTTAGCGTCAAGGGCAGCTGCAGCGACAGCTCTGCCTCGATTCGTCAAGATGAAAAGAATTGTGTATGGAAATGGGGGTGAATGTGTTACCTTCTGTTACCTTCAATAGCTCAGTTTCAAAGCTTCCATTTCTCCCAGTTTTGAGATATGTTGAAGATAATTTTGGCATACGTTTCACAGTTTTGATCACCTCCAACGTGCCTGTTACTATAGGCGAAGTTAGGGACCGTCTTCAAAGTGCAATACGATCCATTTCAATCATCATTAACTTTTTTGTTTTTCCAACCTAAAATCTCAAACCACTGCAAATATAGATAGTAATCCCCTTAAACATTTCACACCTGTGAGTTTGTAAAGAAAAGTTAGGAAAATGAAATTATTAATTTATTAATTAAATACACACAGTGCAAGGTTGTAATTTCAATAGCTTTCTCATTTATGAATATATTGACATCAAATCACCTCTCACCTGTCCTGGACATCCTCTCAACACTGTCACAGCTGTTTTTTGTAATGGTTAAATGTTTTTATTAAAAAGGAGTGTATGTTGAAGTACATGGGATTTATTGTTTTTACCATGGTATCGACAATTGTGGATATTTACTAGTTTTGGTATCAACTACAAAATTTTTGATATTAATAGTATATGATGCACATAGATGTTAAATAAGGAAAAAGGAGATACGAGAGAAAAACTGAGGTAAAGTAATAACATGCTGTAACACACAGACTGATGAGATACACACAGACAAGGCAAATTGTAGCTTCTTACAGAGTGAGCCTCTCATCCCATTTAGGACTGGAGGAGCTGTGAGACTTCGCTGTGCGGCACGACACCCCCTCCGCTGTGACCTCTACATAAATGGCAGTTCCAAACAGGGTCCTCCTCCTCTTGAATTTGGCACAGGAAACTGATGGTAGATACATACAGGAAGTGGAAATTTTGACATATTCAGCATAAAGTCAACACTCTTATTCAGATAAAATACTGCGATATATTATTGATCCTTCAGGGAAAACCCTCTTTTCACAGTGCTTCAATGTGAGCTCTCTGAGGGAGTGACAGGATTTAGACCCTGAGGCCACCCCGCCACTCCCAAATATTATAGCATACTGTATTTGGACTCACCAATGGCATGGAGCTGTGATGTTCTTCTGTGGTTATGGCTAGACTCTGCTCTAGATAAGGCCGTGGCCATGTCATACACCACAGTGGGAACCCTTCAAAACCACACACACACACACACACACACACACACACACACACTAAAGTTTTTCACAAATAATAAACAGGTGAAATAGGCAGGGTTCAAATAAAATACACTAATGAGAAGTCGTAGAAGCTGTTTCAGGATATGCTCCTGGTAGTCTGGTCGTATTTAGTGTAATATTTATATGTAATATTATATTTTAATTATTACCCTATTTATAATTCTACATTGACATAATGCTGGAAAAATAATCTATACTCACAACTGGTGTGTGCTGCTAGACCCTCTGATTCAGCCCACTCCGTGTCCCATGGTTCCTCTGAAAACAGAAAACAGTACATTTTTAGGACAAGGCTGCAAACTGTAGCAATTCAACCAAGTATGGTGGGTTTTTTTGGTCATAAGCAGTGAGCGTGTAAAACATGCTCGCGAGCAAATCATGTTACTCCACACGCGCAAAAATTAACCTTCAAGCACGATAAAGTACTCGCGCAAAATTCAACAACCGAGAGTTGTACAGGTAGCTGTGAGCGAGCGCCTGGCATGCTCTCAAAGGATAACTCTGCTCGCACGTAGTGGGGTTCTGCTCGCGGAGTGGATTTCTGCTCGCTCAAGTCTACATGACTTTTGACAATTTGGGGGCGGAAACCAAGGAGGGCACTGACCCTCTTACGATTGGTCACTTTCAATGTGATCACAACCAGTGCCCTTAAATAAGAGAGTTACGACTCTCCCATTGACTTCTGTCAGAACTGTGGAATGTGGAAGTGACGCGTGTCACGGGGCAGCCGACAGTTCTGAAAACACAGACAAAAAATAAGTTCTGAAAACATCATGATTTATCATTGTCAGGTCTCTTGGGGAAAACCACATGCAAGATATATTGTTATATAATTAAGTTTCTTAAAGAAACTGTTTTATTTATTTTACTGCTTAATCTCTTGTTCCACACTCCAGTCCTGTTGGTGGCGGTAATGCACCATTAAACTGGTTTGCCCACCGCCAATAAACACAAAAGAAGAAGTTCCAGGATTGTATCCCGTTCATTTTTGTTGTGTCCGACCAACCTACGCTCGCTGGTAAGTTGATAAAATTACTGCCTTTATAGATATTTTAACCCATTAACTGACCTCTTGTGAATTTAGTCAATAGTGGTATTTTATGTAGCTGGCTTTAGTTCATGTTTATTGGAAAATATTAACTAATTTCATCAGATTGTGTGCAGCTAGCTAACCTGAGCAACACTTCACTGGCTAAGTTACCATAAAGTTAACGTTACTCCCTGTCAGTTTGCCGACATTTACTTTAAATGTCAAGTTAAGTGTACGTTGATTCATTGGCATTCAAAGTTTATCTTCGGTTATTAGAATTATAGTAGAAGTTAGCAGCACTTAGTGGCTGCCGTAGTAGTAACCTAACGTTACTATGAACGGTAACGTTAGCTATGTGAAATAGATAACATGGCAAGCTTGTATCTAGCAAGGTTGTTCCTTGGTTAACGTTAATTCGGTCATTAACACTGGACAGTGAATCGGCTGATAAGATCAGCAGCACAAAAACCAATGTTATAACTGCAACAGATGGATAACGACTTCATATGTTTTTCTGATGAAGAGCCTGACATATGAAACCATCGGAGACTTACTTTAAGGAGCGAGCAAGCCAATTATCCACAAAGGATCCAAATATCAACGGTATGTCAAAAACTGAATATTTTAACCTTCATGAAGGTAGGATTATTGCAGGACTGCATTAGTTTTAGCTCGGTGTACCTAATAAACTGACTGCTGTATCTGCTTATAGGCCTCATAGAAACGTGCCAAACTTGTATATTTAAGAGTAAGTTAGTGGAGTGCAAATATCATATCCAGCCAACAATAACCAGGACAAACTTTCTTCCACATTGATGCAAATATGAATATAGTGACATGAGATATACAAATAATTTGAGCTACGGAGGCATTTACACATCTTTTCAGCTGCTGGTCTTACTGTGTTGAATGCTCTTAGTGACCTTAATAGGTGCACCTTTACAATGTAATGCAGTTTAATACAACAGCTGTGCCATTATTTAATTAAATTTACACACATGAGCATAAATGTGTAAATTTAATTAAATGTTTAAAATACTGAGGTTAAAATTAAAGGCTGTTTTACTGAACTACATTGTGTTTGATATGAGGATTTGTTTTGTCCTCCCCATTTACATAATGTACATTACAGGGCCAGAATATCAGAAACTCCTCTAAATATAATGCAGCTCAGTACAACACCAACATCACCAATTATGACCTCAGTGATAAAACATGTACATGAATTTCTATGTATGTCTGTGTAAATAAATCCAAAACAGGCATCATAAAAGCAGAATTCATGGCTGAGCTGGTATATTTATTACATTAGATTGTATAGGTGTACCTAATAAAGTGACCACTGCAGACACAAGTCAAGGTTTTCCCTGTTGCTCCTCTGGGATGTGTGGTTCAGTGTGGTCACCCCACAGACTGTGTGGGTCACCCAAACCACTGGGCTAGCCTGCCACCTAAACTACAACAAATCTCAACAGTGATGACCAACAAAAGCATACTTTATAATCTGAGAATTAACATAGAATTATTTGCAGCCTAAAAGTGTGCTGACTTTTTTTACTTTTTTACCTTGCAGCAATTGATTTGGCTTTTTACCTGGATGTGTGCACACTTGATCCCTCTTCTGGTATTTATTTGGTCATTAAAGTCAAAGAATTTGCAACAAAGTAGTAGTACTAAATATGACCATTTTATTAAGGTGTCTTACAACTTTTAGTCCACTGAAATAACATGAAAAAAAGTTTATAGTTAGGTAATATCAAATTCTATACTGGGGCACAGAACCAAATAACCGAAATCATGCCAATGTCCAGATACAACTGGACCTATCTGTGTACTCTCACTCCTGTAATCTCAACCTCATGAAATTATTTGGGAAACATTGGCTTTCCATGTATATTATCATTAATATTAAAATCCATGTCTTAAATGTATTAACCTTGTATAACGTGTATTAACACTGTTTCATCCTTCTTATCCTTGTTCTTTCCAGCAGCACCATGCTCGTGTCTCCTCAAGACCTGGTCTGGGGCCTATGACCTGGTCTGCTTCTGACAGTCCTCAACAAAAAGGAAGTGGTTGCCTTATATATTTTGCACTATTGACCAAACTTCTCTCTTGACTTAAACTGAGCAGCTTCAGTTATTTATTGATATTCACTTGTTGGGGATGTTTATGTGACTGTGTCTTAACACAACAGCACATTAGGACTTGTGATATATACGGTAGACTAATTATATATATTCTGCAAATATACAGTACATTCTATGCATGTATTTGTGTGTTCTGAGGTATACTTTAGCCTGTGTTTCGGGAAGGATAAAGGGGTAGTAACGTTACACTAGTCATTTTAAAATAAATAACCAAGCAGTAATTACATGGATTGTATTTAGGAACAGAGTAATTCACTCAGTAGCCTAACCATATCTGCAGATGCATTTCAACAGATAACACTGTTAATGCTGTCTCTCCTTCCCTCCAAAGAAAAAATCACTACTGTACAGTGTCAGGGAAAATAATTTCTTCCCAAGAATACAGAGTCAAATAGATGTGTTGAATCATTTCTTTATGTAACGTGGCCACGGAGAGAACGCACGGTTACTCTCCCGAACTCAGCATTTCCTCTCCTTAAGTACAGAACAAGTACAAAGCAAACAACAGCCAGCAAATGGTAGATGAATGATAAACAAATGGCAGAGTATTAGCATACACTCAAAAACTCTTCCTGAGCTAAGAAAGGAAATGCAAATGTATGTGGCATCAGATGTTTCTCTGTCTCTTGATTGGTCTATGTTAAAACTCTCACCTACATGCCAGCAGATGTTTATTGTAAATCAGACAACCTTTTGCTTAGGAATAAAACCCCTGTGACCAATGCTAATTTCTCACAAGTTAATTACAGTGAAATCCTAAAAATCAGCAACTTATAATGTATTTCTCACAACAGTTACTGTAGTAATCAATGCACATTATACGAAAAGTGCTGCAAATATAGTCTGCTGTAAATGTGTTGTAACATCACACCTCTTCCCTCCAAAATTAAACACAAAACGGATAATACTGCTTCCACGACTCCCCAGAAGAAATGGTTTCATATGTAAGTATAAGGATTGTAATCAAAACACATTAGGCCTTAATATTTATGCGAAAACTGCTGCAAATATAGTCGCTGCTGGTGTCTGTCCCACCTGAAACCATTCAAAGTGGTTGACAGCGGGGATTGGTTGGAATTACTGAGAGCTGCATGGAGCACGTGGTCGCGTGGCGGCGAGATCAAAGAGTGTCGTAACTCTCTTATTTACGGGCTCTGGTTGTGATCACGTCGAAAGTGATCAATCATAAGAGGGTCAGTGCCCTCCTTGGTTTCCGCCCCCAGATTGTCAAAAGTCATGTAGACTTGGGCGAGCAGAAATCCACTACGTGCGAGCAGAGTTATCCATTGAGAGCATGCCAGGCGCTCGCAAGCAGCTACCTGTACAACTCTCGGTTGTTGAATTTGTGAGAATTTGAGTACTTTGTAGATGTGTGCGCAAAAGTTAATTTTTGCGCGTGTGGAGTGACAATTTGGAGTGACGTGTGGAATGATAATTTGCTCGGCAGCATGTTTTACACGCTCACAACTTATGACCAAAAATAAACGCCATATCAAAGTTTGACATTTGATTGAGACACCAATTTATTACTTTGTATGCATTGATGCCGTAACATTGCGCAAATGTTTTGCACATACTAATTGCTGTGTTCTCCAATAATATGAGGACATTGTGTAAAAAACATGCTGCTTTGCTTTTTTCATGGTCACACAAAAATATTAAATTTAGTGGTGCATTCAACAGTTGCACAATTGACCAGTGTCTCACTCCAACTGATCACCAACCAGAAAACTCTGAACCCGCTCTCGCACTGTTAGTCCAGACAGTTGTGACTGAGTGGGTAACTGATATAGTTGCATTATAAACATATAAACTGAAGAGCAACCTTGCTCTGTTTGGGACTGTGAACTGCACTTTATCGGAGGGGCTGAAGTTAACGTGTGTGTAGATTTGTGGTGAGAGTGCTCCTTGATCAGAAGTGTTGACGGTTGGTATCGGTTTCACATGCAACATGCAGTCCCAAACTGTGTTGGTCAAACGGTCCGAAGGGGATACTTCCATCAGAGCAATAACGTAATGCACAGCCAGGTAAAGCAGGTCAGGTAGACTTAAAAATGATCATGAACTCTCATTAAACG